TAATTCAATCCTTTGCAAGGATATGACGGTGTAGTTTCTGTCTAAAACGCCGATTTTTGCATGTAGCCAGAAGTGAAATCGGCGGTATTTTAAGTCAGAAATGCTCAACGATTTTCTGGCGGAAGTAAAATTTGGGAAAGCATTTTTTATAACGTTGAAATATAGTTAGGTCGTTCGTCCTGAAAACGACGAAATTTCGTCTAATAGAGAGAGGTTGATTTTTCATTGCTTGGAATTTCGAGTAACCGGGTTTTTCAAGCTTAAAGAATGAGAAAAACAGGATTTTAAAATTTCCAGCAGTAACAATTTTGTCTCGTGAAATACAAAGTATGAAAGACAATTTTAAAACGTTGGGATATGCAGATAGTTTCATGTCGCGGAAACCCCCTCCCCAATTGTTTTATTTCTGCTAAAACAAACAGAAGCAACTAATATTTTAAGTCGCAACGGATGTACCTGATCATGTATTCCATCCGCACGCGTGAACCCAGCGATTGATGGCATCGGCTTCACAACACTTCGCCTCTCTGACAAAAAGACATATCTTAATTTCCACTTGAGCCCTCTTCTCCGCACAACTCCATGCTTTGCGGGCCTCATGTGGAAATATGGATACGCCCTTACGTAAAGGGAGCCCCGATCTGAGTGCAGGTTTTGCGTGCAGAGTGTATCAAAATCACAGTCACGAAAAACACGACCGAAAGCTACGCCATGCGTCGAATGTGAGTTTTTTCCCCGCCCCCGACATTCGCGCTCCAGTGGCGAATCGTGAATCGATATTTCCCCATTTGAAGCTATGGTAAAGAATCGATTTTCAAGGTGTTCGCGGCGAACACCCTGTTTATCGATCCTTTTCCATAGGTTTAAATGTCAGATCGATCGATATATCGCACGCTCCGCACTCGCAAGCGACCAAAACTCGCGAATTTCGTATTTTTATCGCGTTGAAATTCGAGTTTTCCGGCCACGGTTCGACAAGCCTGTCTCCTCGTGCGACAGTGGAACTTCCAAGACCCGGCGGAATAATTTATGGCGTTTGAGGGGGTGGATCGCGGGCAAATGCTACTTACCCAAAAGTGGTGATCGGTCCCGCTTGGAGTCGTTTTTTGGAAGGAGGAGGTCCGCATTGCACAACTGTACGAGTTGCCAGGTTGCCCAGCGTATACTCCGCGAAGAATACGAAGCTATGCAGGAAAATACGGAAATCGGCCGGAACAAATAATGCGGCATCGCTGAATTCAGTTCTAACCATTCGCAGCGAGCAACTTTACGGATACCACTATTTTAACGTTGCTGTACGCAATTGGTATCACGCGTAGAATGAAGGCGTGCCTTCTTGAAAGCATCGTCTAGCAATTCGGCATCGCTAAATTCAGTTCTGACCATTACCAGTTTACCCGCGAGCAACTTTACGGATACCTCTATTTTAACGTTGCTGTACGCAATTGTTATCACGGGTAGAATGAAGGCGTGCATGTCTTCTTGAAAGCATAGTCTAGTGCAGAATCGGCAAACTCTTTTTGTCTCTGTCGCAACTAGAACGAGAAATTCAAATTTTTGAAATTTTTCGAATTTCGTCAATTGGGGGGATTCTTGGGAATGTGCTGAAAAAGTACTGCAATAGCACTGATTTTCGGCCAGCGTATTTTAGTAGACACCCTGGTTTTGAACCAATCGATATCGATACAATCTCACCCGTTCGATGTATCGAATACGACCTATTAACATGAGAATAAACCCCACTCGAGTAAAACTTCATTCCAGCGCGAGAAAGGGGTCGGAAGAAGGAGCAACAGTATCTTATTCCGAGAGAAAACCTGTCAACTTCTCTCAGCCGCCGGTACAAGCACTTAAACGTTCTTCAAGGTGAGCTCTATCGGCCGCATAACCCCACGCTTGCCAGGGGCCACGCGAATCCGAGCTTACGCCCTTACACCACCACGTTCCCGGTGCTCCCTGACAGCCCGCAGTCATAGCACTGTCTTTTCCTCAAGATTTCGCCCTCATCATAACTGTCTCCTTCCCTCCCGCCCCTCCCCTCTCCCCCTACCTCTCGGCCCGGATCTGTCCCTGTAATTAATGTAATGAGGAAGCAAAGGGAACTTCCGGGGGGGGGGTGGTTGTTTGTGATGGTGAAATGAATACCAACGAGCTTCCTACGCCCGGAAAATTCGTTTCCCCGGGAAAACTCACTCGTGTTAATCTGCCCACCGGCCTGTTCGGCATACAGGGCGATCGAAAAGTCCTATCTACCCGGCACCACCATCCTTCAGGGTGTCAAGCATCAGGAAAAACCGGAAAATATCAGGAATTTTGGTCGATCAGGAAATAATCAGGACAATATCAGGAAAATCGGAAAACTTGGACGTTCTATCAGGAATTTTTCTCACGCGAATCTCCGCAGCGGAGATAGTCTTACTGCTTTTTGCCTACCGTGCCAGGAGTCGAGAAAAATCAGGAATTTTCGAAATGAAAGAATCAGGAATTTTTTATAAAATATCAGGAAAAATCGGTAAAATGTCAGGATTTTTCAAAGTTAAAAAATACTAGACACCCTGTCCTTGTACGTTTTGAACAAATTAAGATATATAGAGACCGGTGACGTGGCGTGTTTTGCGACACACCGATTGAGCTGTCATTTGGACTGCATTTTGCAATTTGGACCTATAAATTCTGGCTCTTCTGGAAAAACACTTATGTGCATAGGGAAACTAATGGCACGTACGTTGTTTTTAAACCGGGCCAGAATTTACAGGTCCAAATTGCAAAATGCAGTCCATTTAAACCTGTGAAAAAGGGTCGATAAACAGGGTGTACACGACGAACGCCTTAATAATCGATTCTTCACCACAGGTTCGAGTGAGGAATCATCGGTACCTAATCGATCATTCGCGCCTCACCACTGACAGAGATTCGAAGTTTTGTGAGTGCTCTCGGACCAAAGGAAACTACCTCCGGTAGCCTCTAAAACTCTAAGGGGATCATCCTGAAAAAGGGCAAGAAACCTAAGGGTTATAGAGGGGGTACGGGACTTTTTGATCACTCTGTGCAACAGTGGCGTGGCGTGCTTTGCGATATATCGATTGTTATGCCATTTAAACCTATAGAAAAGGATCGATAAACAGGGTGTTCGCAGCGAACGCCTTAATAATCGATTCTTTACCATAGGTTTAAATGGCAAAACAATCGATATATCGCAATAAATTCACGCCGCGCTACTGCTGTGCAAATTATTCGAGCCCCCTTCCCACGTGAAAATCGGGTGATGGGGGTACACAGTTGATCCGGTGCTGTGCGCTAAATATTATTTCGTAGCCTCGAGCAAGTGTTTCGTAATGCGCTTTGATTTGTTTACGCTCGCGGTGAATGTAGCGAATTTTGCGGGATGGAACCGTCCAACGTTGCCGAACTTTTCTTCTTCTTTTTTTCCTCAAGCGGCGCACAATTAATAGATCGAGTCAATCAGAGAGGTTTGACATGAAATTTTTGAATAAAAATGTAAATGTAGATGTTAATTTCGTCTCGATTTAAATTTAAATGGGTGCTTTTAAAAGAAGTAAATTTTACGAGGAAACCAATGAAACCACTGTTAGGATCTCACATTTTTGTATAAACGGAGTTATAAGCGTTTAAAGTTTCCAAATTTTGTCCGACCTCTCCTATTGGCTCGATCCACGGTGCGGCGTTTGAGTTTCGGCCTGTTGATCCGATACGTCGAGGATTTTTCTTCGATTTGACAAGGGAACCTGAAAATGTCAGGGAGATATTGAATTCTATCGGTTTCATCGTAATTCTTCTCCGATTTTCCGTAAGGCAAGAAGACCGATCAAGTTGTCAAAATTGCTTTGTTTAATGCTACGCAAGCAAACTGTAAATACACAGCGCTAGGCAGAAAGGAACCAAGCCACATCAGCTATTATCAAATTTAACTGGTGGGGTAATTCAATTTTTCACAAGAGAATATGTGTGTGGCACACGCCTTTGAAAATTTTAAGGAATTTGTTTCAGGCATTACCTACAGAAAATTCACTGAAATTTACAACAACAAAAAAAAAACAACAAAAATGCGCACAATCGTTTTCACATTTAATAAATTAAACTGCCCAATTAAATGTGGCAATAGCTGATGTGACTTGGTTACTTTTAACGCGGCCCAAATCTGAAAAGTCACGAACTTTTGATTATTTAGGTCTATGAAGAACTGGAAAATTCAGGGAATTTTTCTCTACCGAGTCTAAAGACTCCCTCCTTCCCCGTCCTCTTCTTTTCTCCATATTCTCTTGTATTTTTACATACATACATAAATTCAAGTCGCTTTTACAGCGCGCCCGGGCGCTCTGCGACACCTAATCGCCATCCTTGCCTATCGATCCAGAGGCCATTTGGTAAATGGCATCTTGTAATTTCATCTTGAATGCCACCGACCCGCGATTTTGCTGGACGTCCCCTACGTTCCCTCCAAGGTGGAACCCAATCCAGTACCTTCTTAGGCAATCTGTCATCCGCCTTTCGTTGAACATGACCATACCAGACAAGCTGTTTGGTCATAATTTCATGCACGGTGCTCTGCTCGGCGTTCATGATCTCACGCACTCTTTCGTTCCTTACGCGATCCCTCCTCAAGATTCCAGCTGATCTTCGCCAGAAATCCATCTCAGTTGCCTTAAGAATCTTTTTGGTACACTGGAAAAAAAAAAAAAAACACATTAGATCTTGAGTCCAGACTCTTGATTACATCGACAAGAAAAAATACCCTTGATTCAATCAGATTTAAGCTTAGATCAAGAACCAAGCCTCTTAATTTGAGCGGATTTCCTAAGCTTAAATCTGATTGAATCAAGAGTCCTTTTTCTTGTCAATGTTTTCAAGAGTCTGGACTCTACATCCAATGTGAGTTTTTTTTCCAGTGTACGATCTTTCGTGGGCCATACTTCTCTGTATTTTTCACTGCATTGTATTTTTATAGCCTTAAACTAAATATTTCTCTTTTGTCCTTGCAGGCCAAAGGCGGGAAGGATGAGTGGCCGGTGCCCCATTTCGAGCCGCAGGTAGCGATGCTCTGCGACTCGAAGAGCGATCAGGGCTACCACAACCAGTACATGACCGAGTCGGGCCACTGGGTCACCGACAAGACTCACAAAGTATCCTGCTACAAAGAGAAGCTGGACCTCCTCGAATACTGCAAGAAGGTAAGTCCTCTTCCGTCCGCCGCCGTTTCATTTACGTTCAGCTCGTTAACGCCGAACCCAATTAACTCGGAGCCCGTTACGAAGCCCCTCCGCCAATGTTGCCCCTTCAACTTCGGAAGTGGGCAACCGCCAACTCCGGGATCGATAGTGATCCCCCTTCATTTCCGACGATAAGCAACCACGTCACCATGCAACCATGGACGTTTATCGGTGGACAACGTCTCAATTTGTTATATTTTGCCCCTTCAACCTCGGAAGTAGGCAACCACCCGCTCTGGGATCGATCGTGATCCCCCTCCATTTCCGACGATAAGCAACCATGTCACCATGCAACCACGGACGATTTTCCGTGGACAACGTTTTAATTTGTTAGCCCCTCAAGACTGCTAAGTTTCTTTCTAGTTAGAAACCCGTGCTCCTCTCCGGGAGTGTCAATTTTAATTTTGACACTTGTTTTCGGTGCTGGGGTGTTATCCCTGAGAAATGTTCCGATTTGATGACTGCTTTTTAAAAAACTTGTATCTATATCAAGTTTAGAAGAAAGGAGCCTAGTTTGTTGGAAAACAGGCGGTATTCTTGTTGCGGAGTTTCTTCATTATGTATCAGAATGCGTAAATTCGCACCTTGTCTTCTAGTGGTCCATGACAAAATCCATCTAGGGGATTATTGAAGAATATTAAAAAAGGACCCCCCCCTCCCTCAACAAGCATTAATTTATCTCGAAAGAAGAGTCTTATTGGTTTCAGGACATTTTGTCAACGATTTTTTGTCCGCGCACCTTTTTTGTCCAGGAGTTTACGCCCACACGTAAAATAAGCAACAGTGACTTGGTCCAAGCGTTATATTTTAGTCGGCATGTAAAATTATAGTGACAATATGGAAATGAGAAATTGAGAAAGAAGGAGGTGTTGTTATGGTTGCTCATTTTCTAAATGAAATGTTATTACTTTCTCCTTTTGAAATTCTCATTGGTGAATATTTGGTTTTAATTCTATCCTTAAAATATTCGATGTACAATATACCTTATATATGTATAGGTACTTTTTTTTTTTATTTTTTTAATTTTTTATTTACGAAATTATTACTTCATTTTGAAAACATATTTTTAAAACGTGACTAATATTTGTAAAACCTTTTCCAAGCGACATTAATCTCAATGAACCGCAGTTGTGCCGACAGAAACTGCAAAAATGAATAAAAGAGGAAAAAAACCAAGAAACACGCAATCTTTTCTTCTAACCCATTTGTACATCGATCTTTTAGAGTCAAATACGTCAAATTTTGAGCGTTTGGTTGCGCGTACACCTCGCTGCAGCACAATAAAAGCACAAAATGTAAAAGAAAAAATTAAAGTGCTTTGGAAATCATTACATTTGACACGGAACCACCAATATTTAAAAAACATACATTATATTATTATTTTCCTTTGATAAATTGATACATATTTTTTCCCCATCAATTTAAATCAGAATAATCAATGCAGAATGTGCGTACATTTCAAAATCATGAGTAAAAAAACGCTAACTATGCGAGTATAAATATTAAAGCCTAACAGAGCGGAGCGGCGTGCTGCCAGCGCGAGAGGCTCACTGGCGCCTACAAACCTAAGTGGATACTTCACGCATTGCACAGTACTTGAAGTATCCACTTAGGTTTGTAGGCGCCAATGCGCGTTTCGCGCTGGCCGCCCGCCCGCCGTGTGGCGGCGCCTGAAGCAACTATTTCACAACAGAGGTGTTGCACAGTATTATACGAAATTGAATGTATTAAGAATGACAGGCATCCTTTAAAAGTACAGATCTTCCCTCGCAAAATAATTCAAGATACTTATCTATCGTACACAGGAAAAATCTAAGAGCCTTTAGCTGAGGCCAACATAGAGGTTTCTCCGGTTCAGGTATAACAAGGTGGGAATTTCTTGAAAGATAATTAAGTCCTGTTACACCAAAGAGGTGTAGAGAGTTTTAGTGAATTTTGTCTCATAGAATTGGATTGCATTCTGCGAAAAGGAACCACTAGCACTGCAATGTTGCTAAGATTGTGCAACTTCTTTTGTATTGGAGGAAAACCCCGATTATCCATTCATAGTTTCTATTTTACTCGCTAAAAACTGTAAATTTAAGACAAAAATTACCATCTAAATTTCATAGTTTTTCACGATTTCCGCAATTTTATTGCAAAAGATGAAGTTGCTTAATCTTAGCATCATTGCAATGCTAGTGGTTCCTTTTTGCAAAATGCAATCCAATTGACGCTCCCCCATTTTTACCAAAACTCTCAACTATATATTATTCTCCGTTGGACCAAACAGACGAAACAAAAAAACCAGCAAACCCTCATTCTTCCCAGACATTATACATTTTCATCCAAGAACTTCGTGAGCAATTGTCGTTTGTATTTACATGTGGGCCAATTAACTTTGGGTCTCAACTGGGGCTCGTGGACCAAAACTCCCGTGCCGAAAAAACGCGTGGACATAAATTACTGGAAAAAACAGGTGCGCGGACCAAAAATCGTTGACGAAATGTCCTATAACCGTCTTATTACCTCAAATTTGCCTTATTTTGGTTTGGTATGATGAATCCTCCATCATCCTATGATGAACAAAACTTTGGGAAATCAAATTGTCAAAATTTTGTTTGCTCTATCCTCAACGTTACTCTACATTCTATATTCCCTGAATCTTTGTCTTTGCCCTATAACAAGGTTTTATTTTACAGGTCTACCCGAAACATGATATTACAAATATCGTGGAGTCCAGTCACTTCGTAAAAATTTCTAATTGGTGCCGAGTTGGACACTCAAAATGCAAACACACTGACTGGGTGAAACCATACCGATGTCTTGGTGAGTGATGACTGCGAGTACATTTTTACAATCCTATTTCTCCTTTCTGACAAATTTAGTTTGAAATTTTTGGTTTGTGTGAATAGTTAACTAAACAAATTTTAAAATTTGAACATCATCCTGGACAGTCTATATTCTGTAGACGAAGATTTAGTCAAAGATCAGAAGACAAACCTGTACTATAAAAGCCTCAGTTGATTCAATCTGAAAATTAGAAATTTCATTTATGGAAGAGAATATATTCTTCTGTGGTACTTTGTTTCTCTGTTGAATTGTGTGATTTTTAACTTCTGAAGTGGTGTCGAGTTTTTTAAAACCGCAATTAAAAAATACTAGTTGTTGTAACTTCATTCAGGAACGAACTGAATTTCAGCATAATTGTTTCTCTGAGGTTAATTTATACCAAATATTTGCTAAGTGGGCTTCAAATTTCCATGTTTGAGCTGTATAAGCTGTCAGAACAAAAGAACGTAATTTTGAGAAAATATAGTACGAAAACTGAAACTTCTCTCCCAAGACCGAAGACTACAGTTCAAGTATACTGTTAAGTGGAGTGCATTTTGCGGTAAAGAAAAACTATTTCTGGCTCGCACACAAAAACTCCTATCTACCTAAGGAGAGTAGTGGCACGTATGCCATTTCTAAAAGGAGCCAGAAATTGTGGCTCTTAATTTGAAAATGTGGTCAAATACGCCAGTAGACTCACTAAGAAAATGCTTAGCAGACTGATGATACTGAAGTCTGCCCTGAGCCCATCATCATTTGAACCCCAGGTGTTCCAATAATTTTAGCTCATATGACTACTTCGATTCCCTAGCAATTTTTACGTACCTCATTTTGGGCATCTTATCAAATATTTAATTAAATAATATATCAAATAATATATTTAGCCAGTGCTAAATCCCTTAGTTAAGCTCGTCTCAATTATTTAGTTGTGCACTTGTCTCCCAAAATTTCAGCTCAAAAAATGACTTTTCAGTGAGGCTCAATTTTCTCAATCTAATTTTTTATTACCTATTTAATTTTTTCCTCGCTCACCGATGTATGAAATCATTTTTTTTTTTTTCATTTTGCTTACTGGTTTTTCTCTTCTTCTTTCCACAGAGGGTCCGTTCCAGAGCGATGCATTGTTAGTCCCTGAGACGTGCTTGTTTGACCACATTCACAACCAGTCTCGGTGTTGGGAGTTCGATCGCTGGAATCAGACAGCTTCGAAATCTTGCCAAGACAGAGACCTCCAGCTACGCAGCTTTGCCATGTTGTTGCCGTGTGGAATTTCTCTCTTCTCTGGAGTTGAATTCGTTTGCTGTCCAGCTAAAGGTATTTTCTGATTTATAGCTACATTTCCTTTTCTTATCAAACTGCACTGTAACTATAATAAGTATATGCATCCATCACTTTCACTTTAATCAGTTTTCATATTTGTGGATAGTAAGGTTTTAACAAGAAGTGCTGCATCAAAATTACGATTTCATTGGTAAAATAAAGGAAACTATTAGCAGTGGATTGGCAACTTACGGCCAAGTTTAAATAATAATCTATTCCTTGTCTCGCGAAATATTTTTTTTTCAAAAATGGAAGTATGTAAAATCAGGAGCTTTTTAGTGTATTTTCCGAAGGAAATACACTATTGCGTTTTCAATCATCAGTGAGCTCTTCTCGTAAAAGGAGGAGTATCGATAAGAGTCGTTTTTTGGACCAATCTAGTTGAATTTCCTCAACTCTAAGACTTTTTGCTCATTGAAGGCGTATATTTCACGAATCGCATCATGATTTGGTCATTCACGGTATCTATTTAGGTCTAATACTGGCTTAAACATAGATCTGGAGCCGATTATGGCGAAAAATGAGGATCTTGTGGGTTTGCTGTCAAATGCCGTCAAATCCTCATTTTTCGCCAAAATTCACGTCTAGACTTATGTTTACTTAGGCTAGTAATAGACCCGTTAAAGACCAGATCAAGATGATTTCCGTAAAATATAGACCCCCGATGAGCAAAAAATCGTTGAGTAGAGAAAATTCGAGGTAGACCCAAAAACGGCCCTCATCGATTCCGCTCCTATATGTGATCAAAAGTTTGTTAGGTAAATGATTGTCCAGGTTCTGCTTCATTTAACTTCAAACCATATTCAATTTTGCAGGCACCAAATCTCCTCTGAAGAAAAACCTGATCCCTGACAAACTCAGCGCTGAACCGTTCGACAATCTGGACGATGATGATGATGATGACGACGATGATTCTGACGCAGATGACGATGATGATGATGACGACGATGACGATGATGACTACGACAGCTATGATGACACGAAGAGCTCAACCAAGTGGCAACCGAAGTGGTCCACTACTACCACTACGACAACAACAACCACTACAACGCCTAAACCCACCCCCAAGGTTGCCACACCGGATCCGTACTACACACACTTTGATCCGCATGATGAACACCGGTCCTACAAAGAAGCACAACAAAGGCTTGAGGAGCTGCATCGTGAGAAGGTCACCAAGGTTAGTGTAGCTCGTTGCAAAAACTCGGGTGCTTTGGGTCCTGAATTATTCAAATGTTGAAGCCTTTTAATTCGTGGTTAAGGTAAAGTGAAGGAAGGTTTTGTGCACTGAAGGGGGGGAAAAAGAAACTGAAATTATTTACTTACTTTTGAAAATGTCTCGCAAAGTTGTGAAACGAGCAATGAGCTGACAGTTTGTGAAGCTTTAAGAAGGCCTAGAATGTGTTAGATTTATTCATCAGACCTTCAAGTACTTGAGTATTTTAGAATTTGAAGAATCTTGTCTGTATTACTTAACTTAGAAAGTCCTTGAATATAATGTCATTTAGCAGTCTAATTTGCAATCCAAACTGATGGGTAAACGCACGGGTCGTAAGACGATGATGGAGTTTTTTAGCCATCGTGCGTACAAAGTTCAGCTTAAAGCTGACGTCTCATTTCATCTCATTACAAAATTGTACTTGTGTGAAAGCTTTTTCCCTCTGTAATGAGATATCACCTTTAAGCTGAACTTTTTACGCATGATGGCTGAAAAACTCCATCATTAATTTGCTATCAATTGGAAGATCGGCTCCCTTCCTGCTGTGATCATGACTCTTAAAATAATGCAGAGCATTGCCTGTACTTTATATACCTTGACAGTGAAGCTCCCAAACCGTGTATCTCGATTTGCGATGTTGAACACTTCCTGTCATCCTTTTTGTTTAAACGGAAAACCACTCGATATCAAGTTTTTAAAACTAATGTAATTTTTCTTCTCTGTGCAAAGAAAATTCTGTTAAAACTCCAAGGAATGATGTCAATTTTTCCTCCTTCAAGAAAGTAGAATGGGAGTGGAGATTTTAAAACACTGCAAACGAGATCCTTCCTTTCAGGGTTTCACCTCTAACCTGCCTTTATGTAGGCAGCACAGAGGTAGAGCTTTTAAAGGAAAAGTGTCCATTTTAAGGCATTTTTAATAGCTTTCACTTGTTTTTGGTAAGTCCTTGAAAAGTCCTGATGAGTCATATTAATTAAAATGCAGAACTTCCATAATTTTATTAATTCCAACTGTCTGAAGAGTTCGTAAAAATCCTTGATTTTAGTCTGTAAAGTTGTCATAAACGGTATTACAGAAAAAGACGTATTCTCAATTATCATTAAAGCAGAGTGAAAGCAGTCACAACAACTTCTTAGCAGACCCAATGTTACAAACTGTCTCTCCTCCAAGAAACCAAATGAAAAGTGGGCAGCGATCTTGTTCCAGTATTCTCTATGTTTCTTGGTTAAATCCTTACTTTTCCAATTTTCAATTAGGTGATGAAAGATTGGTCTGACTTGGAAGAGAGATATCAAGATATGCGATCATCTGACCCAAGAATGGCGGAGGAATTCAAGCAGCGAATGACACTACGATTCCAGCAAACAGTGCAAAGCTTAGAGGAGGAAGGCAATGCTGAGAAACATCAATTAGTTGCCATGCATCAACAGAGAGTTGCTGCCCACATCAATCAACGTAAGAAGGAAGCAATGAACTGCTATACTACTGCGCTCAACGACAACCCTCCAAGTGTGAGTGTTTTTCAATATCCATCTATTTAAATAACCATAAAGTCAAGTAGATTTTGCATACTTTAAACAGACTTGATCAAAGAGTGATTGTCAGGGAACAGTGGGAAGTTAGCTGAATGAAGATCTTTTCCTTTGTTAAAAGGGCTAAAGAACTTACATCCAGCAAGTTTTCACATTAGCTCCAGAGAATAATTGAGGAAGCGGCTGCAATAACAGCCCATACGCAAAAGCCTTGTTCAGAGGAAAGTGCACTTGAACGTGCAAATTTGTCGCATTTTTGAGAAAATGAAGGAGTATTCTTACGTTTTTGTAGTTAGAACCCTTTGCAAAGAAGAGTTGCATAAAGTCGTACAAATTATTTGTAGGTATTTAGGATCGTTTATAGCATATTTAAAAAAATTGAGTCATTGGCTATTTTTACATTCCACTGTTGGATAGATGAGAATTGATCAGAATTTAATTAGTTATTACACTACCATTAATGCCAGAAAACTAATTATTGTAAAATTCAACATTGCTGAGAAATAAACAACTTATGTGACTTATTTGGAGAGACTTATTTACTGACTTATTGTTTAGGGTGTTATCAGCTGAGTGGAAATTTAATAAAACTGTTTGTTCTCTCCACAGACCCACCGTGTACAGAAATGTTTGCAGAAGTTACTGCGGGCCCTGCACAAAGACAGGCAGCACACGATTTCGCACTACCGACACCTCCTGTCCTCAAACGTAGATCAAGCTGACAGAGAGAGGGGTCTTACCCTGGAGCATTTAGTCGACATCGATCACATGGTCAATCAGTCCTTGCATATGTTGAACAGGTAAAATAATTTGTCATACAAGTTGCAAATCCTACCAGATGAAATTTTTGGTATTACAAAATTTTAAAAAATACCTTTGATAAACTGCATCCATCGAGATAGCTATCTTAAAGGGTTAATAATCTTGAAGTATGCATACAAATCTATTATTGTTTTTTCAAGATGAATTTAAAGGCTATGAATTAACAATTATGCAATTGTGAGATTTTGGATTTTGGAGGATTCTGAGTCCACACTATTTATTTAAAAAGATAAATAAATCGAAACATATGCTTCAAATGTTCAAAAGGCTGTCGAGTGAAAAAAGCTAAACTCAAAGACAGCGTTCCTGTTCTGGTGCTCTCACTAAAAAACTAAAATATATATTCCTCTAGCGGTCTTTTATTGTAATCACACATCATAAACTTAGCTTGTTATGAAGACTAAGATTAATTTTGGGCCAAAAGCTGATTCATTGAAAATTATGGCAGTTTTTGTGAGAAAAGTGAATAAATCTCCAATGATGTGTGATAAGAAAAATGGGGTTTATCTTGTAAATGAAATTGTCTGTTTCATTTCTCATTAACTGTCATGCTTTGTTTGCAAGAAGGTCAATCCCTTCAAAAGCTTTAAAGGAGCTATAAATTTTAAAATGTCAACTCCTAATGGTAGTGAGCTTGACAGCTCTCTTTATATCTTGAATTAACCGAGACTAATCTAGGGGACTAAAATGTGATGAGAGATAATTAGAAAACATCTGATGTTGTGGTGGGTAGCTTGGCTCCTTTGGGATGACATTGATTTGTGAGTATTGAATTGGTCCCACTTGTAACATTGCTGTTCTGGAAGGTTTTATTGTTTTTATTATTACTTTTACCCTCAATGTTTGTTTTTGCAGGTATCCATCCTTGTCTGCAAAGTTATCGCAGCTAATGTCCGATTATGTCCAAGCTCTGCGCAGTAAAGATGACACTCCTGGTTCCATGCTCTCAATGACAAGGGACTCAGAAGCCGCTATTCTAGACAAGTATAAGGCAGAACACATTGCTCAGCAACAAGGTAATTGAAAAACTCGGAAATATATTAACTTGGCCAATATTATTCATTCAAGACAGTGTTCCCTTTTTTTGCTTAAAGGAAATTTAACAAGGCGTCAATAGGTGCTCATTCTTATTTTTTCAAAAATGTAATTTAATTTTAATTTAATATTTCACGGTTTGCAATGCAGAGCTTTTGATAGCAGTATAGGCTTCTTTTTTAACCCTTTGAATACCAGATTAAGATTTTCTGGAAACACCTCATGAACCAGAGAATGTCATCTCACAAGCACTTTGAACTCTGCTGCAAAGTAATGACATGCTAATACTGTGTTGTAAGTGTGCTGTGGTCCATATCCGTAAAAAAAATCTCATTCTAACGATATGGACAGGCTTTAGAGCATCTGCAGCCGCAGAACTATTTAACTTGTCCATGGCCTGAGGTTCACGGCGTTCATCAAGTAACGGTATACATTAGCTTGTCTGTGGTATTGGAAGGGTTATTTGTAGCTGGCTGAAGTCATGCAAGAGTGGTTTGCACTCCGATGATGAAGCAGCCTCACAATACCAGCGGTGATGCTCAGTCAATTTGAGTTCCTATTTAATTTTTCTTTTCTATGTTTGATTGAAAATGCGCTTTGTAATAGCTGCAAAACGTCCCAGTTTTTTATGTTTTATTGTATTTTGCGGCCTGAGGCTCATTTTAAGTTGGTTATTTTGTGTAACAAAGAATGTATATTTTAATTCTAAAACAACCTCTGGTTATTATCATGGTTGTAGATGCCTGTAAAGCTTTCTTTTTCCTGGCTGTATGTGTAATTGCAGACGGAAAAAGTTATTATGCACAATGAAAAACGATAGTATAAAATACGACCATGAGAAGGGATAGACTTTTGGTTGTTGATGCAAATGATTTTCAGAACTCAAGGCTAGCGATTTTTCAGGATAGAAAATCCGTGCCTCCATGTCTCTATGGATCTTTTCAATTTTTTGCTGTAAGCAAGAGTTATTTTATTGCAAGCAAAAAGACAACAGTTTCGATTTTCGATAATATTTTTTAGAACTTTCGTACAAGTAATCTGTGTGCCGCTTATAGTTCCATGTTTTCAGAACATTATTTGTGTTCATATTAAGAGAGAAGCACTTGTTTTTAATTTTGTGGATGGGCATCAGTGAAATGATTTATTTTGGAGGGAGGGGGGTGTCAAATATTTAACAAGTTCCATCCCCTCTTCAAATTTTCTTTTCACTATATTTTTCAGACAAAGAGCGTGAGCATCTAGTTGAGAAACAACGTAAAGAGGCTCACAAGAGAGAGCGCATTGAGCTGAGGGAGGAGGCAGCTCGCGTTGATGCGGCAGTCAGCGACAAAGAACATTCCTTCGAAGCCACCAAAGAGGATGTGACTCCAACTGCGGTGTCATCAACATCTGCTGTGGCTCACCTTCATGTCGTCCAACACCATGAGCCTCAACCAGTTGTTGCGCACACACTAGTTCATGACCTTGGACACGAGTCTGTAAGCTCATCATCTTTATTTCATTATATCAAACAAGCAAAATTGTCCTGTATGTAGTAAGAGAAATTAAGTTAATAATTACAATTGACCTTGAATACTTGACCTTGGAAATATTTTTAATTTTCAAATTCTATCGTTTTCCTTTTCTCTTTTTTTGCTATTGATTCTCTGGAAAGATACAAGTATTAAAAAGATCAGAATGCTTTTGCACCTGATAGCTCAATCAGTTCCTGTACTTTAATTTTACTTTCTCATGTTATCTTGTCCAAGTGTGAAAGATTTTTTTTTTTTCGTTTCTTTTCAGAGTTTCTCGGTACGGAGAGAAGCCTTTATGCGAGAGACTAGAAGCGTATATTTAACAATGGCTTTTGCGGGTGTAGTGCTTGTTGCTGCAATCTTTGTTGGAGTTGCAGTTCTTCGTAAAAGAAGCGCTCGTTCTCCCCAAAATCAGGTAAATAAGATCCACATCCTTTGCTAAGACTTCTCTCGAGCTGTGTTTTCAGCTAAAATTTTAAGGAAAAATCTGTATGATGAGTCAGTTTTAAGGATTGCTCCTTTGATTTAGTCCAAGCTACAACAGCTGGCAAGTGAGAAGTGGAATCAAATGAGTCCGCTCTGTCTATTCTGTAAGAGTTGATTGGTTCCAGTATGTCTTGTTCATTTAAACAAGCCCCTGTTCAGCAGTTTCAGTCTTTAAAAATGGGTCGAACGGTTAATGATTATCTCCTTTATCGGTCTGTTTTTCTTGAATGAATTAAATCATTATAATCTGATTGTAAAACTTAGTGCTGTGTTTTTGACAATTGAAAGGAAGCAATGTAACTTACACAGCCGTGAACTTCTCACTATCTCTCCTTCTTTATCTGTCTCTCTCTTACCATCATGGCCATTTTGTCAGTATTTTATGCTGAACCGTTACCATTGTGACCATGCTCGTGCAGTCATATATAACCTCTAATAGGGTTCATTGTATCTGAAAACTAATCAATAACTAAAAGAAGAAGTGTCAACTCCAGGAAAATGGCATAGCTATACTCCAGAAAAAAAGGTGTGCTCTGAGTAGCTGTTAAACAATGAATTTTAGCTGCCAATCATTTTTGTGGGCTCCTGTTCGAATGTAATTGAATTGATTGTTCCTTTTTTATGATCGGAGTTGCAGTTTCAATTAATCTGCAAGGGCCACGTTCAAATGGCACAATAAATTGAACAGCAAATCCTGCAAATATTGATTAACCTGTCTATCTGTGATATTTGCCAGTTATTCAGTACAACAATACATTTTTTATTAATTTCCCGCAGGGGAAAGAGAAGGCTTTTTCATTAGTGATGGTTTATGCTTTGTGTTTTTACTGATGGAGAAAATACTGTAATGACCATCACAACTCTCTTGTCTTTTACTTTTAATGTGTCCTAATGACAGGAAATATTGTTCTTCCTATGGAGAACAAGGGTTTTTCATTTAGTTTCTGTTAATTAATTAATTTTTTTCAACTAGGTATTTTTTTTTGCTTGGTCTGTACGACGGAGTCATTAAATTAAATGTTTCCTAAATTTCCAGGGATTTGTAGAGGTGAATCAGGCCATAACTCCTGAAGAGCGTCACGTTGCCAACATGCAAATTAATGGTTACGAAAATCCAACCTACAAATACTTTGAAGTCAAAGAGTAAACCATCTGTAAGTATAAAGATAAATTTTATTAAATGGAAGATTAAACCCAATAAATCATGATTATTAATACACAGTGGCATAGTGTGCTTTGTGATGAGTTAATTGATCTACCACTTAAACCTATGGAAGAGAATTGATTATCAGAGTGTTTGCAATGAACACCCTAAGGAAAGTTCATAAATTACGTATTGTTCTTTTTTGGCATTTTTGACCTCCTTCCCTCCTCGTAATGCTTTTGCAACATAGCTCCCTTAAAAGCAAACTTATAAAAAAATGGCATAAGGCTGTCCTCATCTTCTAACCCTCCCTAGAGGGTCATGCAATTTATGAATGGCCCCTTAGTAATTGATTCTTTACCGCAACTTCAAATGAAAGAAAAAAAATCGATAGTTAATGATTCACGCCTCATCCTCGAAAAAAGCACTAACAAAATTCACTTTTGCTCCTCAAACATCTGAAATCAACTTTCAAAGTTGAACAAGTTAAAATATGTAAGAACTAGCACATACGAGTTCATTATGCAGGGTGTATCTATCCATATGTTGTAGCATACTGCACAATTTTCAACATTTTATCGGCACTATGAACACTTATTTTCTATACAAATTTAACTTTTTCGAAAACCGATTATGGTTAGATGGCTTACTTTTTTATTATTCTTTACGCACAATGGCCATTTCGGGCAGGACGCCTGAGATGGCCATTGTACGTAAAGTATAAAAAAGTAACTCATCTAACTGTAATTGGTTTTCGAAAAACTTTAATTGTATAGAAAATATAAGGATTTATCTAGTTGAGAACCTATGTCTTTTAGGTCCCAGCTTTTGCCTAGTGGATTTCAGTATCACATACTGCACACTATTACTTTATTTTCAAATTCTGAGGAGGTTTGAAATATAATTTCCATGGTTTGGTTACAGGAGTCAGTTTCATCAACAGTTTTCAAGTTATTGTTTCTAAGTTCTTGTTATAAGTTATGTTTGAAAAGCAAATCAGTGAAAATGCATTTTGATTGAAAGCAAAGCTAAATTGAAATTTTTCTTAAGCATACTGCTTAAAGACCTCTTAATAAACAGGATCATTTATGAGAAATGGATTTGCGCATCAGGTTTTTCAGCAGAGCAGATTGACACCAACTATGCCGATATGCTAGCAAAAACCGCCGTATGAGCCTCCAGACATTGCCAAATTTCCTTTGATAAAACGTTAATTATGTACGAAACTTGTTACCTTTTTTCATCCAATTTACGAGAGAATTTTTATCGCAATTTCATTTAGAGAGTCAAAAAATTTCAAGGAAAAGTATTCATAACTTTCTTAAAAAATAAACGTTTTATTGGAGGACATTTTGCAGTTCTTGAATGTTCATACGGCGTTCCTCCTTGGCATGGCAGTATGACTGAGACCAAAAATTATCCGAATCCCCACATGAATTCTTACCCTTGATTTGAGCTTAAACACAGGGATGGTCTCACTCATTAGATTTTTACTCAAAACTTTATTCATATGGTTTGCAACATCAATCCAAAAAATTGAATTTTTACTTTCCTTTTTCTTCTTCTTTTTAACAAACTACTTTTGTTTCATTCGGATGGATGATGTAGGAGGTCTGTCCGGAAAGTATCCGACCTTGTTGATTATCTTGCTATCAACGGTTGATAAGAGGTTGGGGCTTGGGATTATCTTTGCAGGGACTTTCCTGAGTACAGGTGTACAGCCGGATTATCACATGTTGAACCAGTCGTTGGTAATTTGCTGTTCAATACGTGCTATTCTGCTGTGATTGTCGGATTTCCTTTTCCCTAAAAAAGACGAAGTTAAGGAGAGTGGGGTGGGAAGAGTTTGTGAAGAAGATTATCACAAGGGATGCGTCTTGGGTCTACAGGTATGACCCTGGAGTAAAAGTGCAATCTTCAGTTTAGACCACACATGGGAGACCTCGCCCGTAGAAAGCTCGTAAGAGTTGCAACAATGTGAAGACAATGTTGACTGTCTTCTTCGATTATGAAGGTGTCGCCCATCATGAATACACTCCCCAAGGCCCTTTAAGCTGCGTAGTAGAACATCGGGGAGCGTATTCATGATGGATGACACCTTCATGATCGAAGAAGACAGTCAACATTGTCTTCATATTGCTGCGACTTTTCCGAGCTTTCTACAGGCGAGGTCTCCCAGGTGCGGTCTAAACTGAAGATTGCACTTTTATTCCAGGGTCATACCCGTAAACCCAAGACGCATCCCGTGTGATAATCTTCTTCACAAACTCTTCCCACCCCAATCTCCTTAACTTCTTCCTTTTTAGAAAAAACGAAATCCAACGATCACAGCAGAATAGCACGTATTGAACAGCATATTACCAACGACTGGTTCAACGTGTGATAATCCGGCTGTAAACCTGCACTCAGGAGAGTCCCTGCAAAGATAATCCCAAGCCCCAACCTCTTATCAACCTTTGATGGCGAGATAATCAACAAGGTCGGATACTTTCGGGACAGACCTCGTAATTTTACATGCAGGAGCCTCCAGTACAGACTCTGAAAGGCTCGCCAGACACCCTCTTTTGTTCAGCGACTATAGGCTAGCAACCCGTTCATTGTGAGGGTAGGAACAATGGGCGGGCACCCTTCATCCCTCCGTAATGAGCCCTGGTACCCGGACCGAAATTTTTTCCTTGCTGAAAAATTCATATTTTGGCGTGAAAATTCAGTTCCAGTGTGAAATTATGATAAAAACGCACCATAATTCCGTCCAATTATCTTAATTTTTAGCTGATATACTGCCTCTGTGTGTGACCGCGATTCGTCGCGAAATACCGTATATCAGCTAAAAATAAAAATTATTGGACGGAATTTCAGTGCGTTTTTATTATAATTTCACGCTGGAACTAAATTTTTACACCAAAAGATAAATTTTTCAGCGAGAAAGAAATTTCGGTCTGGTTACAAGGGCTCATTAAGGAGAGATGAAGGGTGCCCATAGTTCCTGGCCTCACAATGGACAGGTTGCTGGTCTATGGTCGCTGAACAAAAGAGGGTGTCCAGCGAGCAGTCCGGTCACCAAGTCCGAGACTCATGCGTTGCCATTTTCGGGTTTTAATGCCGAATAAAAAGTCTCAGGTTTCTTGAAATGGACTATAGCAGTTTGTGTCTTTTTTCCTACTCCATCTGAGATTTCTTTCTTTGTGATTTTATTCTCAACTGAGATTGTTTTTTTCTCCACAGAAGATGAGTCACAACCGGAAAGGAGAATCACTAACGCCAAGCTCTGACCGGGCTTGTGGAACCACGTTTTTGCTGTAATATATTTGTAATAGATGTTTTAATTTTTAATTGTACACTACACAGTTTATATACTTGACTTAACCGACATCGGCATCAGTGTTTTGTTAAATGTCTGACTACACTAACCGTATTCTCAGTTGTTCCAACAGTTGCTAATATCAGTCAGTCTTATCTGTACAGATGACTATAGTTGTAAAGTTATATTTTGTTACTCAAGCCGTGAGTAGGGCAGAGTTGGCAAATCTCACGTTTTGGGAAAGTGCGTAGTTGACTATAGTTTTCTAGCACTCTTACTCAATTTAAGATTTTTTGAAAAAAAAAATTTCTACTTACCTGAAGTTGATTTTTGAAATTTTGCTCAAAAATTTGAAGTAAAATTGGTCAGAAAGTCTTGAATTGCATGTAAGTGAAATTTCACAACTCTGGTAGTGATATGTTTAAAATTTTGAGTATCTTTATATTCTGCTTCTGAAATTTTTATTTTTTTTAACCTCTCCGCAGTATTATTTTTATCTAAGTTTTCTCATCCTAGTTCCTTCTTAGTTTTGTCTATACTCTCGATTTACATAAGAAACTTAAGATCAAAATTATACTCGTCCAAATATTGCATCAGCTATTACCTCCCAGTATTATATGCAGCTAGAAATACTCTCGTGATTTTACCTCCTCAGTTTTACTTTCTAGGCGTGTTTCTATCCGTGTAATCATTAATTCGGTTTTGAAAATTTTGAATATTACTCTGATGTGCTTATTTTGAAGTAGGACACATTCAATGAAATCAACGCAGAACAAAGAGAATGGTACCCAAAAGTTGTGATTGTAAACAGCTCCATTTCTTCTTCAGTTCAATTCGTTTGCTGTTGTACGCTGTTGTGAGTTGAAATAGGCAACTGTACATAATTTGTAGATAAGTTTGACAGAAAATCAAAGTTTTTACTATCTAACCTCTCCATTCAGTCTCCAAAGTTATCCAGTTTCAGCTCACTGCATGAAATTTTAATCAAGCATCAATGCGCTTATTGCATTATTTTAGACTTTTCATTCTAACACTCTTAAAGTGTTAAATCTTCAACAGAAGTTATCAGTTCAGAGCAAAATTTACAAATTAGAATTCAAAGTTTTTCCAGTGCAGAACTCTTAAAAACTTGATTTACTAATCTGGAAGTTAGTAATTTACTTGCAAGTAATTTTCAGCTCTCTGCATGGTGTTAGACAGGCTTCATTGCATTTTTTTACCACCCTGAGATAATCTCTCATCTAGCCGCCTCTCTGTTTTCATGAACGCCACAATTTTTACGAGCCAATCAGTGAAGTTTTGTGAACTTAAAAGAGATTTGGCTCAAAAGTTTTCATAATATGAATATTTAAGAGGTCTAGAGTTGTATCTATAGTCATTCCTTGAACATCAAAGTCCTCTCAATCAATGGAACTCTCATGGCTCATGTAGGCCTGAAAATTTAAAGAACGATTTTTAATGTATAATGAATATGAATTCCCCTAGTATAAGTGCAGGTGAAGTCTGGGTGAAACATGAGCGGCGGTAATGTCTTGCATAATTTCCTGTCTTGAGCTGTTTCAGTTGGCTTACACTGTCATCCTGTCCTCAGTTTCAAGCAGTATCCTTTCTGTATTTTTTCAATTTGGATTTAGTTTTTAGTTAACTTTATTTAAGGCTGATTAATCTAGCTAGTTGGTATCAGTAAAGTGTAATCTTTGTATCTCATTAACTTTGTACAATTATATCCACATCAGTCATCCTTGCCAATTTATTGAAGTAGTCTTAGAAAAAAAAAAATATGAAAAGCATCTTCTGGAAGCATTACAATTTACATTGTAATTATGAATGCATATGGCAATAAATCTTGGTAGAAAGTAAGAATTTTCTATGAAAAACTAATTGATGTCTGTCTGTATACTTTTTTACCTGCCTGTAAATTCTGTATGCCCCGAGTCAAGCTTGTAACGAATCAGTCATCATCTGGTTAAATTTTTCAAAAATAAAAAAAACTCATGCATGAACTAAATTGATCTCATTTGCATTTTATGTTTTGAAATTGTGTTTTTAGTTATTTCAGCTTGCTTCTTTAATCCCTGTGATCTTTGACGTATAAATCCTCAACATATCAAAAACAAGTGCACGAATCTTTGATGCATCAATAAAACTAAGAAAAAAAGAACAAAATGGGAACCAACTTACTTGTGGTCTCCCCATCAGTTTCATTAATACACGTCTATGCATGTTATTATGAATCGCAGCAGCTAATAACCTTTAAGTGTTGCTACTTTTTATTTTACAAAGCGTTTTTTCCGAACCCAACGTCATGTGTCCATTTCAAGTTGGCCAACACCTGACCAACCACCATGCAGCTCATAGCTTAACAGTTAAAGTGTCATATTAATTTATTTATTGTTTTATATTTTTTAGTTATTGTTAAGTGTAAAATAACCTAGAGTGTTAGATTTGGTGAAAAGACATTCATTTTCAGTCATTTGTTCAGGATTCAGTTTCTAAACACCTTGATGTACTTAAATCAATCGATGTCTCCTTAGTTGAGTGTTACTCTCAATGTGTTACATTAATGTATTTTAAGGCACTCAGCACTTCTTTTCTGTTTTGGTATCAAAATTTTTTTACGTTTTTATCAAGTTATCAAGCAGAATTCAAAGGGAATGTGATCTGACTAGGCAGACAGAATATGAATTAAAATTCTCCCATCAAAATCCACAGTCAATACTGAGGCTATTTTTCATCTGGTGTTTGATTTTTTCTCCAGTAACTTTGTTTTATTGTCTCCGATGCTTTTTGTATCCCCGTTCTGCGAATTCATTGTCGGGTATGATGTGCAATCATTTTCTTGTTTCTGTACTGCTTTTGTGGAGGATTGTGCGCCAGGCGTGTGTTTTTAAGCATGGTTTTTGGATTCTGATTTGAATGAGTATTTTTCGATCGTAACATATAAGTTGATTCAGTACACAACTTCATAATCGTACATTGCAATTAACTGCATATTCCCAGTATTAGTTAGTTATCGATTCTACCTGCCCTTCAATTAGTGCATGAAATGGCTGACAAGTTGATATTTTTTTTTGAAAATAGCAACTATGATTATGAATACCTTATTTGTCATACAACAGCCCCACTATTCCTTTTGAGAAGATGTAGAAAAATAACTTTTCTCATTCTCAGCTTTGAGGTTTGTTAAGAATGCGAGTGACATCATCATCAAACTTTGCAAATTCTCCCTGTGTATTTTCTTCACTTATTATTTCAAAAGCGAATTTAAATATTGAATGTTGCAACTTGGCAGTTTAAAACCAGTATAATTTTTTAGCTTTAGAAAGTCCCCAATATTTTAAGACACCACAAGGAATTCTTTTTAATTTCAAGTGTCATCATCGTTGGACATGATGTATTTTCTTTCATCTCAGTTGCATTGTTTCATACATAATCATGACATCTCTCACTAAATTTTGTTTATTTTTATGTCATCTTCAAATCAGATTGCTGTAATCATTGTCAGAATTTTCCTCACTTAAGGGCTGCCCTGTACTTGGCAAATAAGGTACTACTATTTTTAAGTTCCTATTTTTGTGCCAGCCCTATTTTCAAAAGGTTTTGATGAAGGCTATTCCTAATCATTTGATTTCCGTTGTTCTATCTCTTCTTGGAATTTTGCAGGGTTAGATTATACAAATAGCGGTTTCAAAAATAGAAGGATTTATTTTTTCAACCTCTCAACTTTTTCTTACACTCATTAGTATTTTTCTAATCCGAAACATATTTTAATTGGTCCAGCAATAATCTCTACTTGGAGTTGTCCTTTGTTTTCTGCTTCAAGCTGACTAGTTTGATTTAATCTTGCAATAGTATTGCCTGCAGTTGGACAAATTAAAAATGTCTCCCATTGTTTCTTCTGGATTTATGAGAAATTACCCGACTCATCTCTTAAGATTCTCTCAAACTTTTGGAAAGAGCCTTTTTTAAGTCGCCCCTAGGATTGTGATCTATTTTTGAAAGTACAATTTTACAAGCTTTAGAGGAAAAATTAGCAGAAAGCTGAATTTTGCAGCTTTGTGTGTGAAGTCGGTTCTGAGTAGTGTTTTGTGGATCCTTGGTATGTTTCACTCCATTCAATTGACATATCAATGATTCAAGTCGGTGAAATTTTTGAGTGTCTCTTGTATTTTTTATTCCCTCCCATTTTTCCGCTGTTTTTTGTACATATTAGACTTAAAGCTTAGAGTTCAATCATTGACAAATAATCAGTGTGTTTCTCTCATCTAATAACTTTCCAAATAACTTAACTAAATATTCTCGTGTGCATCAACTAATTGTAATGTATGATTAATGTACCATTTACTACAGAATAAAATGAAAAAAATTCTCCAATCTGTTCTTTTCTTCTTCTTTCTTTTCTTTCCCTCTTTTTATCTCTAAATGCGTGACATTAGAACTGAAATAATAGTTTTTCAGGATTAAATACTATGGGAATGATTACTCTCAAGTATCGTAATGGCTGAAGTTGAAAAATTCTTTCTCAATTTCCACATTTCAAAATCTTTAATTATGCTCTATTTTTTCGAGAGGAGAATGATCAAACCATCTTTGTAAAATTATTTGAGAATATTTTTAAATGAGTGAAGAAAATTCACAGATAATCTAAAGAGAATATGTTGATCGGTTCTCTTTAATAACAGTAAAACATATGTTGCAACTCACAATGTTTCAATCACAGGTAGGTACGCATTTTCGACTTCAGCCATTGATTTAAGGGTACAAACATCAATTTTACCTTACCACATGAACGACATGAATAATGATAGTATCCTAAGTTAAACATCTGTTGAAAAGTCTGGGAGCGAGAGAATTGGAGATAGACCAAAGAGAAAAAAAAAGGAGGTGTTTGCATCTTGAGGATTGTGTACCCTGTGATGTAGGTCGGTACAACTTGGTCAGGAAAATACGAAATTCGAAGTATGAAAAACGGACCATAACGTCCGTTTTTTTTTGCTTAAATCAACTCATGATATACTTTCAAAAAATTTATGCAGATTGCATTTTTTCCATAAACTACACCATTTCCAAGAAAATTGATGTTTAAAGTCGCCTTTCCAACCTACGTCATCAAAAAAATTCCAAGATGCTCGCAATGCAAACACCTCCTTTTTTCTCTCTATGGAGATAGACATTTTAGCCTGCCTGCTACGACCAGGCCGAGTCAAGCAGAAAAAAATCAAGTACATCGCAATGGTATTACCAATGAGATAGTGCAAGTTCATGTCTGTCTGAAAATACATGAGAGAATGTTACACAAAAATAATTGCCTAATTAGTTTCTATCTTGTTAGTATTTCCATGGTGGAATAATATAACTGTGAAACAACAAAGTTTTTATGCATGAGAGAGGAAATTTCAGTTGTATTGCGGTGTATAAGGTTCCTTTCTGTCAAACTTCATCCAATAATCTTGTTTCATTCCAAAAAAAAAAAAAAAAAAAAAAAAAAAAAAAAAAAAAAATCCGAAGCCTTATTCAAACAAAGACTTATTGAAATTCAATGGAAGAGGGTATGTGACCACTCTCTTGGCACAAGACCTTCCGTCTTGATAAAGGATGCTTATCTGTCGGGAAAATGACCATAGTCTACCGAAGAGAATGTTTAAGGAGAGATATTTTCGTCGGGTTTGGTGCAAGAATAGGACCTCAAAATTTTGACTTTTGTTAATTTGTTTTCTTTTATCTTGGAGAATACGTTATGAATAGTTTAATTAAAATCTGTAGGACATTAGATGTAAAGTTACACTGTGATGCGGCCAATTTTGCCTTAATTGGCAGATCAGATTTTCCAAGAGTTTTCTGCCTGAACCATTTTTTTTTAACTTCAAAATTCAGGCTATATAGCTCTAATTTTATTTGATATTTTTTTCGTTGAATGGTTGCAAAGCACTCCTTTATGTTTCGGTATCAATGACTTAATTTTCCAATCCAAAGTGCACTGTTTCTGGGAACAGTCACATTTGAAACGAAAACTGGTCAGACCAAGCCCAATTCACACAATTCCAGTGACGTCTTTTCTCCAAAACCTTGGGGGGGGGGGGGGAGAGGGATGTAGAAGAGTTTTCACTAATGATAATGGGATAGTAATAACTCGCAATTAAGTTGCTATTAAAAATTAAAAAATTGGGTGATGAAAAAAGTCAAAAATATTTGTCAAAAAAAATAGGTAGCGATCTCATAGCGATAAATTGCAATTAAATAGCTATCGTATTCAAAAATCGAACGTGACTATTTATAGCAAGTTTGTGTTTCATGTATATAGATTTAAGTTGCTATTTGGTAGAAGTTGCATAGCAATAAATAGACAATAAATTGACCATAAATGAAGGGCTCAGGGGATCAAGGCGCATAAGTGCAGTTCTTGCAATGAAGAGAAATGCGAGTTTGAAGCTTCGAATTTACTTGAATCCCTATGGCGGTAAGAAAGTTAAGACTGATTTTGATCTTAAAAATTGTAATTTAGGAGCGCATTTTTCACAGAATACGCATTAAGACTAGTTTTACTTGAAATCAACAAGTACCTACCTAGGTACTTAGCATCTCAAATTTTTCTAAAACTGCACTTATGCGCCTTGTCCTCCAAGCCCCTCATTTACTTTTACAACTGAGACTTGCTTACTAAGCCCTGTAAGTGCTCAATTTTGCCGATTAAATCACTTATAACTCTTAATCTTGGAATTCTGCCAAATGAGGGNCAAAAACCTCTTAAATGATTTGAAAGAATCCAAATTCTTTCACATCACAATTCAATACCCATGACTAAAAGCTTACTTATTTTCTTTACTTTATTTTCGAGCACCAGAGCAAAATTTTCCCTGGTGAGTGCCAGTTTTCTCACTTACCGGAAAGACTGCTCTCACAATCAGCCACAGCGTTTCCGGCTCGCAGCGGAAGTTGTGCACCGGAAACAAATTGACCGGAAATAGAGTACCTACATAGGTACTCTAACCGGAAACTGCCAAAAACCACCGGAAACAGGTTCGTTCCCGCCCGGTTGCGAAACAAGCTACCAATCACAGTCCAGAGTTCTGACCGGCGGCGCAGTGCGCATGCGTTGCAGAGCGCGAACTTGTTGACAACAACACAACAACAGACAACTTCACATATGTTTGTGCTTTTTATCCTTCTTATCCAATTTCGTACGTTAGCTAGTTAATTTTTCACAGTCAAACGGAATTTACCTGAATTTTACTCAAGTACATTGCATCTCCAAGCTAATCAAGTAAGTAATTTCGATTATTATTTACTTAACACTCTACGTTCAAACAAACTACATGAAGAATCATGAAATTCACATGTTATACCACTCCTGTCAATGTCTCTTTTCTTCACATCAAATATTCGTATTTACTAAGTATTTTTAGAATCTGTTATCAATAATGAGCAATTCCTTCCTTCAGCAGATAATTTCACAGTCTTAGCATGTCTTCTTTTCGAGAAATTGGTGTGTTTATCACTTTTGTAATGATCGGCAATCTAGAGGCTTGAATTGTGTTAAGTGGGGACCAGGATGAATTAGTTTTTTTGCGATTAGTACCTAGGTACAATTGCACGAGCACTTAACACCGGGAGTAAAGCTAAGTTAATAGAAAAACGAACCTTGGGTGTTATGGACGAGTTGAAATTTGATGCGTACCTACCCTCACTCTTGGAGTTCGGCACCGCAGGCTGATTACTGAAAAGTAGGTAATATTCGAAACGATAGACAAGGAATAAGTAGGTACGTTGGGAAAATTGAGTGATCCTACTGGTTGAAATGAGTGGTTGCTATAGACTAAGGGGGGAAATGATGGACCAACTGTGGGTTGCTGTTACTCAATTAGTCTATTACTTATCTCGTTTGTCTATCACAACCACCTGCATCCACCGATAGGATCCCTCTTTGTCTATCAACTTCCACAATCAGTCTGTTGGTATACATGCAAGGTTGATAGGGATATACCTTGGGCGGCCTGTTAGCAATATGTTCTTTGAAATTTCTGGACCTGCCGATAGATTGCCCCGGATTTGCTGTTTCACTCCAAACATTCCCTCGATTTGCATTTGCACTGCCCCGTTGCATAGTTCCTCCCCGATCTGCATAAGACCAATAATCGGATCTGGGGAACAGCAGAGTGGGACAAGAAAATCGGGGGAATCTGTTGGCTACGTGGACAGCCCTCGCACCCCCAACTTGCAGAGATTATCACACTCAACTTTTCTAATGGACTGACCTAGGTCTAACGAAGTTGGTGTACATGCAAGTATAATTAGCATATTTACTGCTAGAATTGATTTATGACTTCCCAGCCCTGAGAAATCATGCATTGCACTATGCTAGATTTCCAGTTTTTTTTAAGTGGCAGTCTTCAGTGTAGGCACGTCAGAATGCCTGAAACCTCCAAGATGCCAAGTAAGAAATGTGTGTATTGTTACCTATCACAATTGCTCCATAAAATGATTGTTTTCATTATTCTTTGAAATGTTTAGTAAAGATTGAATATATTTTTTTCAGAGTCAAAATGGACGCACCTGAAGATGATGACTTTGTCTCAATGGTTGATAAACTAGCTGAAGAACAAGCACAAGACGTGCAAAGCATTGAAGAAATAAGAGAGGAAATAGTGCGTTTCCAACAAACAACTCAGGAAAATAGCAGCCTTATATCTGAGTTAAGAAGGAAACTTGAAGGCGAATTGAACAGCCAAGAAAATGAATTTCGGCAGCTAATAATTTTAGAAGAGAAGTAAGTTGTCTTAAAATTTGTGTTAAATTACACTACTTTTCTGTTTGTCATTGATTAGGTACCATGCCATCAATGTAAACCTGAGCTAAGCTTTCTTGACAGCTTGAAAAGAAACCCATGATACCCATGTTGACCACATTGTACGAGCAGCTTGGCTGAAATACAGCTTTAACTCCCAAATAGCAATAGACTGATTTCATGGCTACATCATTCTTGCTCTATTCGACTCATCGATTTTTATGCTTCCAACCAAAACAGTGGAACATTACCCTATGGTTAAAGTCTGTGAAGACTCTAGATATTGTTTTAATTTATCATGATTTTGTCTTGAACAAATCTTGAATCGAAAATGACGCATTTAAAAGGAGAATTTTCATTTTCAAGAATCTTTAAACACATTCTACCACCCGGGGAGGAATACAATGAATCTACGTGTCTGTTTATCATGGGTGGCGGTAGCCACCTCCGGACAAAGTCTATAAACTCTGCAAACATGGAAGCGGCCTGAAGAAGGAAGGTGGTCAGCCAATAACGAAGTCATTAAACTGAGATGCACAACAGAAAATACAGCCGGCTATACATCTTCTGTTGTGCACTAAATTAGTCTAAGATCATGATAAGGTGCGATTCAATGAGAAGTATTATTGCATTTGATAAGCGCAATATAATCGGAACGAAAAAGTGGAGTAGTTGTATAAAAAGACATCTGTGGCAATCGTACTGTCTAATTGTTAGTATTTTATTGAAGGTACTTAAGTAGTTCACATACAGGAAGAAACTGCTGTAAAGTTGCAGTATAATTGCAATTTTTACTTGCGTTTGCATATTACCTACTTTCTTAATTTGAAGTGCTGAAATTATCAAGACAAAATTACTATTACTGAAGTTGTGGGCGATGATCACAGTGGTAATTTGGATGGTGTAGAATTTTAATTTTATAGCAACATTTTCGCAATTTTTTGTGAGATTGGAACTTTATTGCAACGTATCTTTTAAATGCTAGGTACCTAAGGACCTTGCATTATCAAACTGCTACTTTATAAGGGCCAAATATATATTTTTGGCAAAATTAATAAAAAAAAAGAAGAACAAAAAAAATTGTGTTTAAGTTGTTTAACTGTGTTAGATATTATTGCAATTTCTGAATGAGCGCTCCTATTGATAGGAAAAATGACAGTAGGTATTATCGAGTGAAGTCACACAAATGTTGATAATGCTAGCAATTTTGTTTTGATGAAGTGGCAATTACAATGTTTTTGAAAAATATCACATAGGATAATTATCAAACCGTACTGGTCAAATATCCACATAGAGCAGCAAATCTGTCAATTTTTGCAAGGAAGCAGTACATTTTTTGTCCTCACATTTTTTAAGGTTGTCTTCACATTGCTGTCTGCTAGGGACTTCTTTCCCTTTACATTTTTGATGCAGCCTTCACTCTGGCTATCGCATGAAAGGACACAGTTTGCTTTGTAAAGAGTGAGGTCCTTACAAATGGCAGAACAAAGGAGAACCTTTTTTAGAAGTAACATTAAACTTGAAATGAGAGTGTTATAAAAAGACAGCTGCAGGAGCATTACATTGCCAAAAGTATGAAACTTCTTTGTACAAAAGTAATTCTTTTTTCCAAGGTGTTGTCCTAACGATTCTGGTCATTTTCAGATTGGGCGATGCAGTTGAGAAAGCAAATGAAGTAAAATGTCACCTAATAGCTGCTGAAAAAATATTGGATCGTACGTACGATATTAATGATTTTCTGCACTTAATAACAGAAAGAGGTACTAATACAATTGAGACATTGTCAATAATGGCCAACAGCATAGGAGATGAAAAAGAACGGATGGGAGCCTACTGTAAGTTATCACCTTTTTGTCTGTTGTTTTCAATTTAGTTTGTTAAATGATCTTAGTGTCGATGTATATAGTCGCAGAAACCTGTTACTGTTCAAAGCTTGTGCATTTGTCTTGTTCAAGGAATACCTACTCGTTTTTAAAATTCCATTACAAAGCAACACCTGAAGATTTGATAGGAAAAAAATCGACCCCTGTTTGAATTGGCGCTCACCAAAACCGATTAAGTATGTCCATTTTTTCCAATTTTCAGTTTTTTAACTTTTTATGACCCTAAAGAGGATAGACGCATCCATGAATGTGGTAAAAATATTTGTCACTGAATCAGGACTCTTTTTGAAGATGGAAGATATTGCCCCATTTTACTTAATTTTTCGAATAATTTTATAGTGCAAGAAGAAATGCAGCTGTACCTAGCAGCAAAGGATTCCCATATTTGCGAAGTAAAAAAATCAGAAAACGGAGCTAGATGTATTGAAGACTTAGGAAAGATAAAGAAGGAGGAAGTAATTGATGAGCTTCAACCTCAAATTCAAAAGGTATGCATTGACTTTTTTCAAAAATCACCTGCTTGTCCTCAACCAATTGTTGCATGTGAAATGCTGGAGTCAGTTGATATTTACCTAAGTACCTACTATAATCAGAACTCCTATCTGTCTGATCCTCTTCTTAAAGGGATTGAATGACTTGTTTACACTTTACAAAATTGTTTGTATGGTAACTTCCCATTGGATCACATTATATTGTATCACATGCCCCTTGTTTGACGCTTTCTGAGTATTCCTAAAAATGAAACCCACTCCATGACTGATTTCCTTGCAGGATAAGTGAATTCACCCGATGAATTTTTTATTGAGTATCTTTTCAATAGCAGGTGATAGGTTATATTTATCAGTCATGTTTTAGGTCAAGAAGGCCCAAGTAGCACAGTGCAACGAAAATATTGAAATTAAATTGTAATTTTTTTACCATTAAATTGTAATATTTTTACATCATTTGGTCGATTTATGCCAATTTTAAACACTTTTAGTGCAAAATTTGATTCAAGTAGACATTGGATTTTCATTTGAACAAGAGACGCTAATTTTTCGCAATCAATGCTGAACAAAAACGGCAATATTTTGGTTAAAAGTCAGCTTCAGCAATTCTTGTTGCCTAAATTGTGTTTAATGTGAAATTTTGATCAGGTTTCTTAAGTCATAATGCTAGAATTTTCTCTTCATCCAGTGGTACATTTTTCCCGAAAAAATTTTCTGAAAATCGGCAGACCTTTAAAAAGTCAGGATAAGGAAGTGATTATTTGTGTTTCTGTTTTGCAAGCGTAAATTTTTCAGAACTTGTACTGAGTGTAAACGTTAATATCTCCATCAGGAGCCAGTTTCCCTAATTTATTTTGAGCGAATCTTATTCTATGTAAAAGTTTGAAGAGGAAACATATTTCAGAACGTTTTGTTCCGCACCCTGTCTAGTAGACCATTGCAAAACTTTTTATTGATTTTTACTTTTGATCTTACTTTTGCAGCACCAGGAAGAATTTGAAGAGGCTAAAAAATGTATCCAAGAGAACTGGCAGCGAAAGGAAACTCTTGACAATAAACTTACTGAAGAAAATATGAATGCTCCGCAGCTGGAATTAGTGTAAGTCCAAGTGCAGTGAGTCAATCTAAATTCATGCATATCTTTGTTTGTGTCACAATTCAGGGTTGCGACTGTCAGGGAAAACGGAAAAAATATCAAGTGATTATTAAGTCAGTGAAACCTGGAAGTGTCTGGGAAAATGATGCAAGTTTCAGAAAAAAATTGTTAAGTCCTGTTTATTTCCTTTCTAGAATGGGTTTCACGTTTTGAACAACAAATTTTGCCGAAAAACTATTTCATTTCTTTTTCGTCCTTTCAATCATTTGGCATACCCCAAATTGTCAGGGAATTTTACCAAAATGTGTCAGAATATTCATGGAAATTTCAGGGAATTTCATTTTCTAAATTATCTGGCAACCCTGAATGCCACTTGCGGACTGATTATTGAAACTGTGTTGTTATGACAAGACAAGACAAAGCCCTGACTTACCCATACAATAAATCGCATTCCAATGTCATGTCTTGCTACTATAACATTTCGATAATTTGCCCATTGACTGAAATTTCTTTCAAAATAGGGTTGGCAACAGAAATGTTGTCTTGAAGACTCATCAGAGTGCAAACCTGATTTATCCTGTCCATCTCTCATCAAGTTAGAGAATGAGTTATTAGACATTCTGTATGCATTCGCACAGCATGTTGTTAGTTGGCAGAGTGCCACTTAAACTAGACAATTGTGCATTTGATCTGGGCCTCAGGAGCATTTTACTGCCAGCGCATACTCATAGCGGGTTAAGACCTAAAACTTGTTGAATAAAAATTGAAAATTAGCACCCCTGCAAACTTTAGGCATGGTTCATTACTTTCATTATTATTCCCTTTTGAGTATTGTGCTTTGAAATCTCGACCCAATATTACTGAGGGAATGAGAAAGCTACATATTAACATCAAAAACAGATAATTTTGACCTGAATTACATCTTTTTGCACAACTCTGTGAAAATCATGAATTTTCACCCTTGGTCCCCTTTTACCCAACTCCATAATTCCGAAGATGGCTTACTGCCAAAAATGATCCATAAAATAATGTCGAAATGCTAAATGAACAGTAAATTTTGCGCTGACCTCAACTGATGTCAGTAAAGGACTTAACTGATGCCCGTTGAGATAAACTGTTCCCCTGGTTATTTTTATCCAGACTCATCGGTGGTAATCGTAATGCATGAGAACTCTTGTCTAATTTTTCTCTGGGTTTAATTCTGTAGCATTGCCGAAATGGAAGAAGAACTAGCTTCTGCCACAAGGTCCTTCTTGGAGGAACAGAGTGCCATAGAAGCTGAAATGACTCATGCGCAGGAAGCCCTAGCCTCAAAGGAACAAATAATAGAGGCTTCCCTCACACATTTGCAAGAGCTGCAGGGTAAGATAGCTGATCAGGTGGCATTTAGCAACTGCCTAAAAGAAACTAATGGAAGACTCCAAGCAGAATTTGAGGCTTGGCAAACAGAGCACCAAAAGCTTGATGAAAACCTCCGGAAAACTGCAGAGGAGAACCTGAAACTCGAAGCAGAGGTCAAGAAGTACGAAGAAGAAATTGGAGGCATGCAGTTTGAAGCTCGAGCCCTCGAAAACCAACTTCAAGAGGCCAAGACCGTAGAAGGTGATCAGACAGAGGTAAGTTACGTCAACAACAATAAGCTGTCAGTTGAATTCGGGAGATGATATTTTCATAAATGGAAAATATTTACACAATCCATGATAGAATTCTAGATCACTTTAAGAGGATTTCAGCTCTTTGCCAAAACACTGCCAAAATTGTTTTAACTTTTCAGCCCTCTGTGGTGTTGTAGTTGTAGCGTTGGCTCTACAACCAGGAGGTCCAGGGTGCAGTTCCTGGTCAGATGTGAGTTTGATTGCCTCAAGCAAGGGTCACCTTGGACTGGTTGTAAATTAGGGGATTGGTAGATTAAGCGCAGAACTAGCCCCTAGTTTTTAAAAATGGTACCAGTTTTGCGGTACTAGTTAGTTGGTACTAGTTAAAATGGCCTAGTTTTTTGAAAAATGGTACTAGAAAAAACAAATCTGATTCGTGTTTGTTAATGAAAATATTTCAACAGAGAAAAATGATTTTTACTATTCTTCATTACCGAAATAGACAGCGATGGCTCTGTAGAAGGCTAGTTGATTATTTTTAGAGACGCATTTCAGCTGTCCATTTTTGACTAACCCCTTTTGAAAACTCTATTTTTCAGCTAAAGCAATCTGTTTGCAAAATTCATCGTCTCATTTTACTTTTCAAATGCAATACTTAATTTTTTAACACCATTAATTTGTACTAACCCCTTGCATTTCATTTTCATCCATCCTCCACGCATTCTTCAATATAGCTTTACTCGTTTTTCATTCCAGGTCCTATTATCCAAAAGAAAAGTCCACCAAGAAACCCTTGCCATTAAAAATAAACAACTTGATGATTTGAAAGCTAAAGTGTGAGCATTTTAAAGTCCTCCAATCAGTTTTTATTCCTTCCCATGTTTCTTGTAACCTCCACTAGGAACAGTAATCATTGAGCTTTACATTGTTGTTGGTGCACTCCAATCTCGTTACCACAAAATTAAGTGCATTTCTTACAGCGTTTTAAGTAAAAAGTGAAGAATTAAAAAAACTTGCTTTTGAGGTTCAGCACATATTCTTGTCTTGATGATTTATTTATCGCAAAACCATATCCATCATTTTTATGCTTCCATCCTCCCATATAGACTGTAAAAAATACTGGAAACGCCTAGTTTTAATTTTCTTGAATGAAGGAAAAGCCACATCCTAGTTACCCTCAGCGTTTTCCTTTTTGGGTGGTAAAATTTCAAAATTTGCACATGCATCAAACTCAACATACTTTTTTTTTATTGTTTTACTTTTTTTTAACAGGAAGCTCAAATTTTGTGAAGACCAACCGAATTTCTTTAAAGGAAATAAGCTTATTTTCAATTGTAATATAATTTAAGCTTATTTTTCAATTTGAATGATCAGATAATAATTATTCCTTTCACAGATTATTGTGTTACTAACACAGTTTGATTGAATATTATGAAGATTTTGGCTTTTGCCTTCCTTCTTTTATGATCTAAGTGAAAAAGTTGACCATTTTGAGTTCGTACGATCATTTACTGACAACAGAAAGTATTTTCTCAATAAGCAGCATCTGATGGAGCCCTTCAAAAAGACTCCTTTTCGGTGCTTTTAGGCTTAAAAATATCCTTGCTCATTGTATGGATTGATTAAAATTATGCAGGCCTGATAAACTATTGCTCTGTATTCAAACATCTCTGAATGAAAAGGGAAAGAAATCTTCTTTTTTAATTTGTGTTGCTTTATTCATTTCTAAGTTCTTTGTTTCAGTTTAACTTTAGAAGAATCTCTTGAAGGGGCTGCTGTGATCAAAGCTCAACTAGAAACAGTTTCGAATGAGAACGAGACACTGAAAGAAGAAAATTTGACAAGTGCTGGCAAGCTCAAGGCTTTAGATAGTGAAATGGAGAATAATGAACAAGAAATGAAAGAGATCAACGAACAAATTAAGAAAACACAGAAGGACGTAAGTTCAATATACGTAGTTCCTTATCATCATTCACAGTCAGGTTTCCGTAAAAAATATATTAATAATACACAAACGTGAATTTTAATTCCCTCAGAATTTCACTAGTTTTGGTTTTTTGGTATCTTTAACTAATTGCGCTAGTTAACATAATTTTCCCAAAAAACTGAAAAGGAAACAGAAAATATGAGGTGAGAAACTGTAAGCTGGGCGAATAAGACAAAAAAGAGAATTGGAAAATAAAAAAACTCAAGCTTCCTAAAAAATAAATCAAAATGCCAACGCATTTTAGGAGCCTGCAGTTCCTTCTTTTAGGCTTAATATTCGAATTTCAACCGTCAAGAAGGAACTGAAGGCGTTGTAATTTATTTTGTGAGTTGGAGTTTTTCAATTTTCCGATCCCCTTTTCTCTCTTAAAACTTTCCCGCCCTATTTTTAATCACCTATTGTTCAGGGAGCAATTGGACGTATTTCTATCAAACGGAACTAAGCGCCATAGGGGGAAGAAGGTAGAGGGGGGCTTGGATTGGTGGCAGAAACGGGCGTCCTGCTTGTTCCGTCCTATACTCGCAATGCTTTTCCATGGCGCTTAGTTCTGTTTGACAGAACGTGCTATCCGGGATTCTTAATTCCTCAAAAGGAACTCAAATTGGCGCTTAGTTCCGTTTGACAGAAATACGTTCAATTATGAAAAGTATGCTTTTGGGTACTATTAATGTGGAGTTACAATGGGACAGTGGTAATTATTGTTGGAACATGGAACGAATCCTCTGGAGGATTCAGTGTCAAAATGCTCGAACCCGAATCCAAATTCATGAATCCTCCGAAATTTCAATATTCGCGCCATTAAGCCAAATCCCGAAAATTCCTGAAGGTTCTCGAAGCGCATCGAATATTGATATCGTCTCTCGATCTCAAATTTTGACTCATTCCAGAATGTTCTCGAACAGTAAATATTGGTATAAATCTATAAATACTCGCTGAGTCGAGATATCACAATCAGTTAAAAATAAAATAAATTTTAAAAAAAGTACTGGGTTTCTGAAAAGTGAAGGATTCGCAATGGATTCGGATTCGAGGATGCGAAAGTTAAAATTTGGAACCCAGATTCGAATTTGGATTTGAGCAATTTTAGGATTCGACCCAACACTAGTAGTAATGATGGGCTGTGCATTGAAAGATCAATCAGTCTCAACACTGCTGTATTGTATGGCAGTGTCTTTTGTTATTCAGAATGATGAGTGCTGCATTTGCTGGAATAATAGATCTGCATCTAATCAATGATCTGCCGCGAAATGACCACACATGGAACGCCAAGGATTTTTGTGTCTGCTAAATTTTGAAATTTTTTTATTTGATGTTCCTTACAATCCCCCGAGAAAGATGAGCTTTTAAATTGAAACTCTCTATGTGCTGATCAAGTGGTGCCGCCGCTGAGTTGAAGAGGCAGAGCCTTTTCTTTTGAAATAAGAAGACAGGTGTCTCATCTCCTTGGCTGGCGCAAAGGAAGGAAGGGGGAGCTAGCTCCTCTATCACCTACTTACTTTATTATCCTTTGCATTAAGTGTAAACCAGCCGGAAAATGCACTTGCAGACCAAATTTTCTTGAGGTTGGCGCAGAAAAAGTTTGATTGTAAAAACCCATCTTACCTAAGAGATCACAGTAGGGGTGTTCAAACAAATTTTTGCTGGTAAGCTATCAGTATCATCTCAAATCGAAACTGGTGGTGGTACCGACAGTAGTGATGATATTGTTAACAGCCGGCCATATCAGACTTCTGAGAGCTCGCTTTCAGGGCATTGTTGCCCCATGTGTCGGTTTGTCAGATTGCCTGGTGCGGCGGTGCGTCAAATAGATGTACACATGGCAACATCTTATTTTCGTCAACTTTGAAAACTCTGATTGTTATCGGTAAGAGCCCTCTTATCATAACTTTTCCTTAACGGAATTGTTTCCATAGCTTACCAACAACCGGTAGAACAGCCCTAGATCAAAAGGAGTAGGTATCACAAAAAAAAATCTTGAAATTTAGCTGGCGCTAAGTTTCTTAATATTCCCTGCAAAATCCTTTGAAAGTGAACCTTTTTACAGTTCAAAGTGATGTGTAGGAAAATATTGTTCTCTCATTGGGAAGCACAAAACTGCCATTATCAGAATTTCTTTGATTTATTCATGGTTTGTATCAAGAAATTAGGATTCTTACAAAAGTTCTGTTTAAGTTCAAACTCTAATCAGCGCCTTCCAATTTTTTTTATAGGTGTTCGAGATCTATGAGAAATGGTCGAATGAAGAACCGATGATTTTAGAGTACAATGATGAAGCAGATAATAGGATAGAGGAGACCAAGAAAAATCTTACCGACGCAGAGAAACTTAACCAAGAGCTGCAAAGTAAAATTCAAGCCCATAAAGCACGAATGGTCTTGCAGCATGAAGAGTCCGAGAGAATAAAGAAAGAGATAATAGAACAATGCCAAGCTGCGGAACAGGTAAACTCTTAAACCCATGAAATGAGACTCGGTGATGATGAAATCATTAACTTCAGTATTATGAGGGCTACTTTCAAATCTAATTGAGAAATTGTAATTATGATCTTCGCCATGTATGATTTGCATGAGTCTTTGGTCCTAAATCAGCTAAGATGTCACAGGAATGGAATAAATGTAAAATCTTGGGAGTCTGGATTGAGAAAATTGTTTACGAATGCAGGAAAATCAAGTTACTTTTTATATTGACAGCAAGCCAGAAATCAGTCACACTAGCAATGTTAGTGAACAATGCTGGACTGATAAAATGACCCACCTACTCTTAAATGGCTTTGGGGTGAAAAATTTGGTGTAGGCTTTAGTATTTGAAGATATTAGCATGGGTTCAAAGGCGCCCTTTCTTCAGAAGAAGTATACTCTAGTAATCTTTCATGAATTTTTCACTTACAACGGAGCCAATATAAACATCTGAAATTTTCGCCGAAAATGCCCTAAAAATGGGATCCTCCGACTTTGCTGCTGGCTCTCCAGAGGCACAAAAACACCCTCAGTTGAGTAATTTTTACAATCCATTAATCTACCATAAGGAGAATCTCCAAAAATCAAAGGCTCAATTTTCCTTTCTATGGTCATCGGTCGAATCGGCGAAAAATCCTTAATTAAAAATCAATTTTTCAGAACACCGAAAGGCGCCACCCTCCTAAAAAACTTTTTCTTCAAGAACAATCCTTTGGTTTGTCTCTTCAAACTATTACCAGTACACAACTTTTGCACACCTAGTAATACTTGCAAATTTTTTCATAAGCCTTTTTTTAGCCCACCCAAGTTGTCAGCAAAATTCTACTGAATGGATGAATGTTTTCATTCCTCCACATTCAATTAAAGTTCGGATTTTTGTTGAATTAGGTGAAACACGGAAGTAGAAAATGCTTCACTTATGTATATCGACATTGAAACTCCTGAACCATGTATCTCGGTTTGCAATGTTGCAGACTTCCCATCATGATTTATATTTTAAATGGATAACCACTCAATGTAGTTCTTTAAATTATTCATGGTTTTTCTTCTCTGTGTGAAGGAAATTTTGAGAAAATTTCAAGGCTTGATGGGGATTTGTTCTCCTTCAAAAAAATGAAATGGGAGTAGAAATTTTCAAACACCGCGAACAAGATATGTCATTTGGAAGTCTGATTTGCATGTGTGTGTGTGTGTGGAATTTAAACCTGCATTAAAAAGTATGTTAATTTTAAACTTGTTTGTCTCTTTTGTTCTCTATGGTAACAGGAAAAGAAGGAAAAATCAGAAGCATTGGCAAAAGAAAAGGAACGATTGTCATCCAAATGGGAAGAGGTCCATAAGAAACTGAAATCAAGATTGGCCGAAAAGAATCAAGATGCAGCTGAAGTTGAACAAGACTCTAATGAAAAACTTGCTCTTTACACAGAGATCCAAAAAAATATTGTCCATTTACAAGATCTTATGGTAAACGATAACTAATATAAGAGTTTCAACTTATGTAAAACTTAAGTAACTTATGTAAAAACTTATCTGTAACTTATCTCAACTTATGTAAAAGATGGTCTAATCTATAATAAAGAGAAGGTCCAGCGACATCAATTTGGAAGATGGTCTAATCTATAATAGTAATTTTAATTCTCGGAAAGAAATGGAAATAAGTGACTGAGTGTAAATAATATCATTCAAAAAGTAAGAAATGGTTTCTACAGTTCTCAATGTTTTGTTACTTACAACTCGATAAAAAAATGTTACCTATTTTTGAGTATTTTTAAGACACAAGCAGTCAGAAATTAATTTTGAAAGCTTGATTCTAAACGTCTTATTTTTTTCTAGAATGTAAATATGCTGAAAGACAACCAAGAAGTTTTAAGGAGTATAAAACGGCACATTTCACAGACAACTACATCAGCTGACAGTAGCAATCAGAAACTGGATGGGCCGTCTGCCGCAGAAATTAACTCGCTTTTAAAAGATCCTTATGAATTTTCCGAAGAGGTAAGAGATAGTTTTACTCTCTTTTTGAAATTTCTCTCTCTGCGTTCATTAGCAAAACCAAATAACTGTCAATTCTCGAAATAAACACATTAAAAATCCTCTGACAGGAATAGACATACGACTGAAAGATCTTCAAGGTTATTTATTTCATTCCTCTTTAATACGCTTTACAATCATTCTTGTGATTTTTACGACTTTTGAGACACTTAGACACTTGACTGCACTTAGGAGTTAACCGCCTAACATTGAAATTTCAAATTTTGAACAAGTACAGTGAATTTACCAAGCATATTTTCGTTGATGATCGATCGAGCCAAAATGCTGCGATAATGGCGGCAAGATCATGATCGGGCTGATAAACACTTCAGGTTAGACTTTCAAAATCGACGCTGGTTGGATGCCATCATCTTCATCTGGTCATTTCTAAACTCTACTTTTTGTAGGGTTATATTTTGGTTCCAATGTTTGCATGCATTCCACTTTCTATCGGTCTGGTGAGTCCTGATGTTGTTCGGAAAAATTATGATCGCATCAACACAAAATATGAAACCGGTTGATCATCCCATTTTGGTTTGACCGATCATCATCGAAAATACGCGTATGAAGACCTTAGATGGTGAATACCCGTAATTTTTAAGGATTTTTTGCTAATTCTAAATGTAGATCCAATAGATGGAAGTTGTCAAATATTCATTTTACAACATGGAGAGTGAAAAAGAAAAGGTTTGTGTTAAGCTCCAAATTCATCATCTCAAACGATTTTACAATTGTATCAAAAATTTCTGGCAGAAATGTTGCCACAAATGAGGAAGTAAAAAAAAAGAAAAGAAACGCTATACATTTTGCTTAAGATAGGAAATCTTCTTTTTTATCTGCAGGATGATCAAACTGCAACCAAACAGTCTCAACAATCCGAACAAGCATCCACAAAGGGTAGCACCTCCAATGAGACACCCAAGAAAAAGTACTCGCGGAAAGAAAAATCAAAGACTAGCAACAAGAACGTTAGCTTCCAGGTCAGAATAAAATTGTTGTTAAAGTCACTGTGTAAAAAATGTTTTATTTTCCATCAGGTTTTGTAATTCAAAATAACTTATGACCTTGAAACCTTCCCTCCCCCCTTCTTTTTCGAAAAAGAAATTAGCCTAGCTCCAAAGCTTCACTTCTCTCATTTTTTTTTTTTTTTTTTTTTTTTTTCGCATTTGGTGATTTATGAGGACTTATCTGTAACAATAGCGGATGTCGAGTTTTCACATCGTGAGAAAATCGCGTTTGAAATTTTTGAAGCTTTGCACTTTTCCGCCCGTAGAACCGAGAGGATTCTTATAAAGATTTTCATGAAGAGCAATTCTTCCGGTAAAAAACACACGTTTTACGATATATATGTAAGTGAAAAATTGAAGGAGTAACAGCGATTTGAAAAAAATGTGACATCGGCTCTTTTTACTGCATACACTTTTTTATGCATAAAACAAAGTTTTCAGGAAGGGTAAGGCTGGTAAAACGATTGAAATGAACCAAAAGTAAGTCAATGCTGAGTCATTTAACAAAATTGAACAAGAAACTAAACCGTTTGTAACTTTTACAACAAAAACAAGGAACAAATTCTAAAATCAGTTAAAAATTCAACAATTCTGGCAAGACGGTCCCGACACGTATAATTTGAGTGTCAGCTACAGCCCATGGCCGGTGGGCGGGCAGTTATCGCAAGTGGGTTCGAATCTCCACTGTGTCCTGCCGCGCTGGCCAGGGAAAACAGTGGATTCTCACATCCGCTGTTTTTTACAAATAACATGTTTTTCAGTTCATATCTCGCCGAAAATTGTGCTGGAAGTCTGAAACTTTGCACAGGCATTCTTGGAGGCTCTAGATTTCGAAAAAAGTGTTTGCCCTAAAAATGGCGGTTGTCAGCGACCGCCATTGTTACATATATGTCCTCATATATACATGGGATTACTAAACTTCTCTTCTTTGTCCGCAGGATGATCAAACGACAACCCAACAGTCTGAACAATCCCAGCAAAGGGCATCATCTGCAAAGGGTAGCACCTCAAACGAGACACCGAAGAAAGAGTACTCAAGGAAAGAAAAATCAAAGACGAGCAGCAACAAGATTGGCTTCCAGGTCAGAATAAAATTTTTGTTAATGCCAAGTGTGAAAAATTTATTCTTTCCCCTCGGGTTTCGTAATTTCAAATAATTTATGACCTTGAAATAATTTTGACTCCTTTTTCGAGAAAGAAGCCGAAAAGAGAAGTTTTAATGAGGACTGAAATTAGCCCACTTCCCTAAGCTTCACTTCTCTAATTTTTTTTGCCCTCAGTGACTAGTATGTTGGTTTTGCTGGTAATTATTTCCTCTAAAATAAATTTGATGTCAAAAAATGTCTAAAGGGTTTCCTGTTTTGCTTTAGGTTTCTCAAGTCGAATTGCAGCAGTCACTGTTGGTGAGATCGAGTTACAATGGGTCAGTTGCGCCAGTCACAGAATTCTTTTGATGGTTTTAACATTTAGATCAGCAAATAATGATAAGATCTGTCTGGATGACGTCATTTGCCGTATTTTTGGACGAGCGATATCCTTGTGAATATCGAATGTAAAAAATTGGCAGTTGAGCAGACCCTCTCCATGAGCTTAAACTATGGAAACCTGATTCTGTGACAAGCGCAACTGATTTATTTGCTGTGTGCAGTTCAAAATAGCAAAGCTAACCCTAATTATGATTTCATCTTCCTTCATTTCTGTTATTTTCTCAGTATTTTTCACCGAAAGAATCAGCACAGAAGCCGGCTGAACAGTCCACTCCACCAACCGCGAAGACGAGGAAGTCTGGTGCCAAGCACAAGCAGCAACCCATTGATGACATTGAAAATTTACCCAGCCCTGCAAAGAAATCTACCAGAACTTCTCAAGAAAAAGCAGACCTTCCTAAAGATAATGATGAGGCCGTGAGTCCGGTGAGACTTCAATCGTAATTTCAGAGTTTTCCATTAGAGGGAAACAAAGCTGTGACCATTCACCGAAGAGGGTGCCTTATTTCATTGAAGCAAAATTTTCTATTAGGCAGATTGGAACCCTTAAAAGTTCTCTTTTAAAATTATATGTTTTAAACTGCAGAATCCAAATGACCATTTTTTTTTTCTAAGTGACACAGGGTGTCATATAACCAGTAAAGTCAGGGACAGTCAGAGCAAGAAAATGTGTAACTAGTAGTCGCAAACTCCCTTGCAAGATACCGAGTTTTCATTGACTGCTCAGCAGTTCAATACGGAGCCTAATAGCGTTCTCTCCCTGTCGATCCTCCTAGAGTACCTATCAATCTGTACGGATTCTTTGCTTTGAACTATGTTAATTTTTGCGTTCCTTTTGATGTGAAGGAAAGGGTACGGAAGAATCAGGGAAAGATCTTAGGGTCAAGGAAAACCTTGATAGTTGGGAAGAGGGAAAAGAAAATTTTGCTGGGCATCAAGGGGTATTTTTGTGTGTTTAGTCCCAAAATATCTGTGGAAAATTTGTCAATGCTCTGTTATCACTCACACAATCTTAAGTTTTGGTGGACTGAGGCCTTTTTTTCATAGATGGTCAAGTGTAAATTTGTAATTTTTTGTGGCGAAGTAACTGTAAAAAAGTGAACAATTTCTGCATCGGAAAACTCTGAAACACACTTTTTGAGTATCGTGTGAGGGAAAAAACTTCCATTTTTTTCTCTATGTTGAAGAATAATCTCTTAAAAATCATCATATTAGTGAACTGTGGCAGAAAAGGCAGTAATGACGTGGTCCACGACAAGCCATTAGTTTGAGAATGCTCCTGAAAAGAATTTTACCAAAGATGAAAGAAAAAATCAACTCACCACCCATCAACCTCTTTAAATAATTTCTGAGAATCTACTGTTGAGATTTACAATGCATAAATGTTTCCTATTTTTCAAGTTATTTCGTCGCAAATAAAAAGTACAAAAACCCCCCAAAAAATCGAAATTCCCACAAGGGGTAAAAAATTGAGCACAGACCAAGCGCAGCTATTAGTGAGAACTATCAGTCACACGGAGGCCTTCCATGCTGCTGAACGTAGAGGATATCGTTTGACCTGTCATTCAAATAACAGCTCGTGTCTTCGCTTTGTGTGAAATTCAAAATCTTTTCCCTGGTCATGAGGAAGGTAGAAACCATCAGATCATCTAATCAGAAGTTCAAAGTTTTTAAAACGTGTTCGTTTTTAATTTGCAGGTGATCAAAGGCTCCCAAGAATCAATAGTATCCTTATCCAGTAGTCAGGATTCATTCACACCCTTGACGCAGTCTCACTACGCTTTGAATATCTCAAATGATGACAGTAATGACATGTTTGACTGAGCCAATCAAAGTATCATTTTGACTTTTGTTTTGCTGTCCTTAATTCAAAGAGCAATCCAACATTTTTACAATTTTAGTACATTTTTATAATATCGTTTTTTTTAAAAAAAAAATTTTGTTCCGTTAAATACTTTAGAAGACAAGTATTGACATTGTTAATTAAAACAAATCAAAACAATATTTTAATCTTCCAAGGTACTGTAATCAAAGTACTCTTTCCAATGTGGTAACTCTTTTCTTTATTCAAAGAATAATTATTCCTCTTTTTATTTTTTACTTTAAATTGAGAGAATATTTTTTTTTAGGGTTGTGCCCATCTGTTTTTAAGTATAAGTTTTAAATTCTGTTTTATAATTTACAATTGCAATTCTCATTTTAACTTTTTCATGACCATTGACAAGAAGTGTCCCCCAGTCTCGCTATGTATTGAATAGGTACTTTAAACAGCGGTAGTACTTAATGACACATCGCACTAAGTCAATTGGAACATTTTAGTCTTTTTAATTCTATCTTCTATTTCAACAATGATCATGTTCAATCCTTTCTTCACTTTTGATTGAAATTATGAAAACTCAGTTTTTTTGTTTTGTAAGTGTCAAACTAATTTCCCATTTTTAATACACATTTTTAATTCTCATTTTTTGGGGTTTTTTTTGTGCACTGCATATTTTACTAATTCAAATTTAGAAATCATACTCCATATAACTTCCCTTTCATTTCTGAAGCGCTAAATTTATCCAGAAGTAAGAGGGAGTACTTTGTTTCACCAATTTTGGAATTCATATTTTTCTAGGATGCGGGCATAGTTGAAAGAGCATTCTTTAATTTCCGAACAGGCCCAAGCGACTCTCCTGCTTCAAAAATGGTGAAAGTGACCTCCATTTTGTAAGAAAGCTGTGATCCGGATGAAAAGATATTCATTGCCAGCTTGCCTTTGGACTGATGTGAATCGCTGTATGTCATCAAAATGAGAAAATTACTAGACAACAACTGGCTTCTGAAATCACAAACGATAGCTCTTTGTAAATTTAATTCCTGGTATAAAAACAAAACACAAGGAATTGAAGAAAAATAATTGAGTAGTAGAAATTTGAGTATGAAGGTACTCGGATTTAAACAAATTTCTGAATTAAATACTAAAAGAACCGTTTGGAGGTAAGAAAAAAGAGGTAAAAATATATTATACCATTAAAGCTGAGAAAGGAAAATGCAAGGAAAAAACTTAAGACAGTATGTTGGAGTTTTTTTTTTGCCCACGTGCGTTCAAAATTCAGTGAACTGAACTGAAAATCTCAATACAGCAACGTAAAAAACGCATGTTGACAAAAAACTCCAACATACAGTCTTACGACCTGTGCGTTCACCGCAATCAGTTTGTTGAAAAACTTAAAATAAATTGATTGAAATAGACAGGGAAGTATGAAATTCGTTTTGCAATACATGCATCACTCATGTAATTTTCAAAGCAATCTGTCTCTTACGTCTTTTCAAAAAACGAAGTGTCATTACCTCTTTACCTATCGATGGCTGAAACGTGAACTCCACTGTGGTGTTTCAAAATTGCCACTTTTATTTTATTTTTTCAAGGAGGAACAAGCCAACTTATTCAATTAAAATTTCTACAAAATATTCTGCGCTTGGAGAAGAGAAGTCGAGGAACTTTTAAAGGAATTACGTTGACCAGTTTCCTAAAGGAAAGATTATGCATGGCAGGAAATCTGCAACGTCGCAAACAGAGATGCGTGGTTTCGCACTTCTGCCATCGTTATGCTCTGTTAGGAGCAAAAATGTTAATTTTACCCCTTGATAGGTACATCTTTTTTGACAAAATAAGAGAGATGTATGCCTTTACCAACTGTTTGCCAGTCGATGCTGTTTTCCCAACAAGCGTGTCACACATGTCTATTTAGAAATATTTGTGTCAGTGACGCGTACTGTTTTACAAAAATTGTTCAAATCAGAAATTGGTAAAAAAAATTCCTCCTCCTCCATTTCTATCTATCAAGTTTTGCTAAGCCGCAAAGTAAATGTTAACAATTAAAAAAATATTCTAGAATTCTGAACGAGGAATGAGCCAATCTAGATAGGGCGCTTTATTTTTTTGCGATGAGTATTTATGATAAAGGTAGACAATTTTGACAGGAACGGACTTTTTTAAAGTTAGATTGCTCCAGTATCCCATTAAGGCAAACTTTTCAATCTTACATTGAACTTTCAAAATTGTAAAACATGAAAGAAAGGAGGCATCCAGTAATCTGCCGTTTCTATTTTCCGTAATGATGGATCTTAAGTCTTCTTTGTTACTTAATACTTTGAAATCAGCAACGCATATGAGTCTAACGAAACTCGGGACCGTCGCACGTCTGATAAAAGTCCGCAAATTTAAACTTGGCGCCAGTTTGAGGAGTGTCAGGCTTGCTCAATTATCAAGCGCTAAATTGCCAGGTGCCAACCTACGATTTGTCGATAAGGCGCTTTGAACCTAGGGTAACCTCGAACTCCAGTGCTTATTGCTTTGCTTCTCGCTCTAGGAGCGATCAGCGAGGCAATAAGCACGAGGTTACCCTATTTGAACCCACCTCCGCCATTGTTGATTTGATAAGCGCATTTCCAGCTGTTGTAATCGGACACGCTTTTCATGTAAACTTATTTCTTTCTGTGTAATAGTAGTGATTTGTTTTACTTACGTCTCCGCAACACACTCTAATGTCGAGGCAAGGAACGAGGCTTGACCAAAAGAAAGTCGTAAGTTGAAGTTTTCCTATTTTTCTGAAGTATGAACCGCTCTGGTGTAACCTACCATTGCAACCCCCTTACTTACCATTCAGGAATGGTTTGCTAATTTACGCCGCAATGTCTACACTATGTACCTTTCTGACCATCCACTTGTCCTCTACAAATCTGGAGGCTTTTCCAAGATTTTGAATCTCTCTATAATTGTCAACAAGTTCTTGAAATTACAACGTCGATTCGCAATGAAGTTAGGTTATGTTGGGTCAGGTATCGTCGTTTGTAGCATGTGGCATCGAGCCATCTTGTACCATTTACAAATTTTGTTCTCCCAAGATATAGTATCATCTCATTTACCCTAATACTTTCTAGTATTTTAATCGTATCTTCAATCCTTAGTATAGCTTATATCTAATCACCTCAGAAAATCCAATGGAAGTCGTTACTGGGGTTAAGTAAAGTCAGTTTATGGGACTAGGAAAATTCATCGAGTCCTCGTTCAACAAGTTTACGCCGTTTAAGAGTGCGACAGAAGATCTGTTATCAAGATTCTTGTATTTACTTCAATTTTACATTGAAGACAGCTAATTTCCTATCGTACCCAGAAAGTGCGTAAACTTTTTTGACACGGACACCAGTGAACAGATGGTTTCCATGCTCTTTACCACCATCTCTTTCATGTCAGCTCATATTAATCTTTTGGCGGGCCTTTAATGTTAGGCTTCATCTGCTCAAGTTTGAAGGAACTGTGTCTAGGACCTGGAAATATAGGGATTTATCAAGAAACAATGAGAATCTTGAAAATCAAAAAATTACTTATGTAGCTGAGGAATTAGATCTAAGAAGCAGAAAGTTCTTTTTCTGCTGCCTTGAGGTTACGTCAGTTACAACGCAGTGGCTCAAGTTGATTCAGCTTTTAAGAATGATACTTAAGACAAAATTGAGTTGAGTTTTTTCTTCAAATTCTCAAGATAAATCTAGTTTTTCCCAGAAATTCAGATATTTATGAGAGAGATTCCTAGCTTTTCATCAGGGAATATGAGGTAAATATTAGGAATTGAAAATCTGGAAATCCAGACACTAGGTTTGAAAATTGGTATGCATTAGTGTTCGAAACTCACAGGCGCCAGCGCACCAAATGCGCCTAAGGAATCGATCATGGCGCCTAAAAAATGAAGGCTCTGCGCCAACATGGCCCCTAAAAATCCCCCCCCCCCCCCNGAAAAAATCCTAATTTTTCTGTTTGGTGATTTTTCAAAAGATCTCCCAAGTTATAGCCAGGTAGGTACTTGTTCTGTATCTAAAACATCTTGCGTTTAACTTTTCACTGAATGCGCCGTGATGTTTTGGCATCGAGTCAATTTGGCCCCTAAAAAATCTTCATTTGCCCCTAAAAATCGAGCTTGATGAGCCACATGGCTCCTGAAACTCAAAGATGAGTTTCGAATACTGGTATGCATCTTCATCATATGGCAGTGGCCAGGTTTATTTTACATTTATCAGATGGATTTCAGTGCAGTCTGAGTGTAGAAAGTTATCGTACAGGGGAGTTATAGATTATTAATGGTCAAAGAAATTCATGTTATGCAGGGCACTGGGGTACAATATAGGCCTGGTGCAAGGGGCACCAAAAGTACGCACTCACATTGGGTGTTAGCTATGAGAGCGCCCAAATTCTTCATGCTTTTTTATATACCTAAATCACTTTTTGAGAGATGCTGCTGTTTTTTTTTTTTTATGAAAAGAATGTCTCTGTCCTGCGGCCCGATTATTGAAACTATGTCAGCACGACACGACAAGACATAGCCCTATCTTAACCATGCAATATATCGCAATTCGATGTCTTATCGGGCTGGTTTAAATTTCAATAATCGGCCCGCAGAACCATGCTATGTGGTTTTTTCAATTTACAATTACAAAATTTCAAACTTGGAATCTGTCTAAAAGGAGCTTGTCACGCCGCACCTCTGGTTCACACTGTATATTATTCTCACTGCTTTTATACCCCCCCCCCCCCCCCCCCCCCNGGGGGGGGGGGGGGGGGGGGGGGGGAGGCACCACCGAACTTGTCATTTGTGTGGTTGATCATGTCATTTGTCATTTCACTTGTCATTTATCCTTGCTGTGACCTGGTACAGTACAGTATTCTTGTCCATTGGGGGTTGCTTTATGTATTAATGAAGAGAAAAGATGGCTATCTGCATGAGAAAACCGATTTCAGAGGTTTGATTTGATTAAATTTTTCCCGAAAATTGACAGAATTAATCAATCTGTGTCCAAAAAAATTTATCAGCTCTTAAATTGATTTGTTCGATTTTTAGGAATGAAAAAATGAAAAATCTGTGATGCTTGGTCATTGCAATCTACACCTTTGACATTTGGAACAGAAAGCAAAAATCGTTTGCTGATTTTTTGGCGCGTATACGTAGTATACCGCCTTTGCGATNCAATACACGGTCTCGTCAAGGTGCGTCTTTGACCTCGCAGTGTTGGATCGTGAATTCTCTTTTTATGCTGTTTGCCTATTTTGAAATCTCTGTAAATGAAAACTAAAGGGGTTGATATGTGCGAGTTAATGACGCGCCTTATCAACACATTGTGTTGGAGTTCACTGCTTGTTTTTTTTTTCTTCCTCTTTTTTCCTCTTCTAATAGGTACACCTATTTGTTTGCTATTCCAAACTTTTGATTCCTCAAATGTAAGTAATAGGTCTTCAGATTGCGTAGAAATATTCAGAATACAAACAAAAAATGGATGCAACTTAATTAACTTCGGTGTGGGGTTAGGTTGCATATCGGCAAATTCGAAGGCGAACTAGCGGCGATTTTGTTTTCAAGCGACACGGTCAGGCGCGGCGCTCCAACCGTTGAGCCTTATGTATCACTGTCATCCTTATTTCATGTTGAAGGAGGATTTTTAATTTAGGGTAAAAAAAATGCTGCCGTGCCAAGAAAAAACGCCTTTTGAACATTCGGCTGTAGCCACATTTCATTCGACATAACACAGATTTGTTAAGAGATTTTGGAATTTTTTTTCTCCATTATTTCAGAGAAGTTTTGTTAACAATTCGATCGAAATCATCTGAAACTTTTAAAGAAAAATAATCATAATTCTCCTTGAAAATACGTACTTTTTTAGAGACATTTTGGCAACATTCGAATGTTGGTACGGCGTTTTTCCTCGGCGTGGCTGTGCGTGTCTGTCAGTAGTTAATTAACCGATAATTAGTCATAAAATGCCACTAAATCCTCAAATATTAGTATTAGGTCTTCTGGATACGTGGACATTTTCAGAAAACAGCTAATCGGTGGATGCAACTTAATTAACTTCGGTGTTGCATCGTTAAATTTGAAGGCGAATCAGCGGCGATTTTCTTTTCAAGCGACGTGATGCTCCAACCATAACGCTATATGTATCACCGTTATCCTTTATTCGCGATGAGGAGAATTTTTAGTCAAGATATGAAACGTGTGCTGCCTTGCTACGGAAAATCATCGTATAATAAGGGTTGCACAGTTTAGGGAAAACCTAGAACAGCAAGGCAAATAAAAAAAACATGTACAGTTATGTAAAAAAGGTCGGTGAATTTTGCACCGAGTCAGGGAAATTTTCAGTGCGGCAGCCCAACAGCTTTAACTTCCATTGCGCACCGGTACCGCGCGCCAGCGTTACCTAATTTTCCGAAATTTTATGGCGCAATATGAGTGCCATGGGTACTAAACCCGCGATTTGTGCAAGTTTCAATTCCAAACATGCAGTTACGGTGCTTCAAATTTTGCATCGCTGCTTTGAAATTAACCTCCTTCCTATTTTAATCTCTAAGAAGTCAGGAAAGTTCAGCGCTGGTGGTCTGGAAATGTTTCCAATAATTCAGGGAAATTCAGGGAATTTTGAAACATGATTAAAATTGGAACCTTGAGAAATCATCAGTATGGTCTAAAGTCTTCTCGATAATCCTCTATTGTACTTCCCAGAATAACTTTTGTTGCAATCCTGTTCAACAGCACATTACTCCATTTGCCTGTCTTGCTTTTTTTTCAGGGTTTCTCCTTGTCTACTCGGTGAAAATTGGCAAATGCAGTTTTGTAGGCATAGCTCCTCAAATTGTAACCATACATGAACCTAACTAGCCTCCCGATAGTTAAAACCTGTTCGCATTGAACTTGATATAATTGTTTTTCGCGAGCACAATTCATCGGCTGTAGAGTGAAAAGCAAGTACCAAAATGTCCAACGTCGAAAAGGCAAAGAAGAACAAGAAAAAGGGGGGCGGAGCCAAAGATGCTGAGCCGGAGGAAAAACCGGAGAAAGAAGTAACCGCTGATAAAAAGAAGAAAAAAGGCGCAGAGAAAGATGTCAAAGAGGAAAAGGACAGCGGGAAAGGCAAAGGGCCTGGCAAGAAAGCCCTTGCAGCCATGCAAGAAGCCCTGCGAAAAATGCGAGAAGAAGAAGAGAAAGCGCAAAGAGAAGAAGAAGAACGCATTCGGGCGATAGAAGAAGCTGAGAAAGCACGGCAAGAACAACTGAGAGTCGAACAAGAACGGAAAGAAAAGAAGAAGCAAAAAGAAAAAGAAAGGAAAGAGCGGTTAAAAGCCGAAGGAAAATACCTTACACCGAAACAAAAAGCAGACAGGGCTAGAGCGCTGGCGCTTGTCGAGGCCCTGAAAGCTCAAGGACTGGTCATCGGAGAGAAGAAACCTAAGTCAGCACACAAAAAATCTGATCCTCACTACAACTCTCATGACAAGAATACGGATGCTCAGGCTGCCCAAAGCGAAGTAGAGGTCAAAATCGTAGACGTCAAGAAAGAAGAAAGTGAAGAGAAAGAAGATGAGATTAAAGACTCCTGGGACATGATCTCCTCGGAAGAGGAGGAGGAAGAAGAGGCGGCTGACAAAGCAGAGAAAGCAAAAGCGGAAACGTCGGAACTAGAAAAGAAAATGGACGGTGTTAAGGTCAAGTCTGATTCAGAAAGTGAGGATGAGTCCGGTAGCGATGACAGTGGGAGTGAAGACGATGATTCGGATGACAGCGAAGGAGATAAAAATGAAAACAGGCTGCAGAAAATCAAACAGCGAATTCAGAAACGGCGTGATAAAGCAGAGAAGAAGAGGTCACTCGATGTCCTGAGAGCCCCTATCGTTTGTGTTCTGGGACACGTAGATACCGGTAAAACAAAGATTTTAGATAAACTAAGGCGGACGAATGTTCAAGATGGTGAGGCAGGTGGTATCACGCAGCAAATCGGAGCAACGAATGTTCCGATCGATGCCATCAAGGAGCAGGGAAAAATTGTCAAAGGATTTTCTCAAATGGAGCTACGAGTTCCCGGTCTTTTGATCATCGATACGCCAGGTCACGAATCTTTTAGTAATTTGCGTAACCGAGGCTCCTCTCTATGTGATATTGCTATATTAGTCGTTGATATCATGCACGGTCTAGAACCGCAAACTATAGAATCAATTAATTTGTTGAAGAACAAGAAAACTCCGTTCGTTGTAGCCCTCAACAAAATCGACAGATTGTACGATTGGAACTCCACGCCTAAAAAAGACATCAGGGAAACGATAAAAGCGCAAGCGCCCAACACAATCGTAGAATTTGAACGTAGGACGAAGGAAGTTATACTGCAATTTGCCGAGCAAGGACTGAACGCTGCTTTGTTTTACGAGAATCCAGATACTCGCAGTTATGTTTCCCTTGTCCCCACGTCAGCCATTACCGGAGAAGGTATGGGGAACATCTTAGCCCTCATCGTTGAAATTTGCCAGAACATGTTGGCTAAAAGATTGATGTTCAGCGAAGAACTGCAAGCCACTGTCCTAGAAGTCAAAGCAATCTCCGGTTTAGGAACAACAATAGATGCTATTCTCGTCAACGGTTATCTGCGGGAAGGAGATACCATGGTCTTGGCGGGCACTGAAGGACCGATCGTCACTCAAATTAGATCTTTACTCATGCCCCAGCCCCTGAAAGAGCTGAGAGTAAAGAATGCTTATATTGACCACAAAGAGGTAAAGGCTGCCCAAGGAGTGAAAATTGCAGCAAAGGAATTAGAAAAAGCCATCGCTGGTTTAAATCTGTACGTAGCTCAACAGCCTGACGAAGTCGAGGTATTGACGAAGGAAGTAAGTCACGAATTGAAATCTGCCCTTAGTCATATCAAGGTACATGATCGAGGCGTTTACGTCCAAGCCTCCACGTTAGGTTCGTTGGAAGCGTTATTAGAATTTTTAAGATCCTCGAAAATTCCTTATTGCTCATTTCGCATAGGACCCGTAGTGAAGAAGGATGTAATGAAAGCTTCGACCATGTTGGAACATGAATCGCGCTACGCAACAATCCTAGCATTCGACGTGAAGGTCGAAAGAGATGCGCAGGAACTCGCTGATGCTGTAGGAGTTAAAATTTTCCAGGCGGACATCATTTACCATTTGTTCGATAAGTTCACAGCTTACACGGAAGAGTTGAAACAAAAGAAACGAGACGAATTTAAATCGATAGCTGTCTTTCCCTGTAAGTTACGGGTTCTACCTCAGTTCATCTTCAATTCAAGAGATCCGATCGTCATGGGAGTCATGATCGAGGCAGGCATCGTCAAAGAGGGCACACCGATATGTGTCCCCAGTAAGGAGTTCGTCGAATTAGGAATTGTGACGGGTATAGAAAGCAACCACAAGCCTGTAGAAAGTGCGCGGAAAGGTCAAGAAGTCTGCATCAAGATCGAGCCCATTCCCGGGGAAGCGCCCAAAATGTTCGGTCGTCATTTTGATGAAAAAGATATGCTAGTTAGTAAAATCAGTCGTCAATCCATAGACGCTTGTAAAGATTATTTCAGAGATGACCTAGTCAAAACAGACTGGCAACTAATGGTTGAACTCAAAAAAATGTTCGAGATTCTGTAACTCGCCAGAAAATACTTGAAGTTGCTTCAAGAATGTCCGTCAAATATTTTCCTTTCTGTAGCCGTTAATACCCCACTAGTATTCTGTTCATGTTAAATCACTCAAAACTGATTGCAGTTAATTTATTACCTGCAAAGAACTTTCATCAGCCCTGTGCCAACTATTTTCTCCCTGTAACAAAAGCGTACGAACGATCTGAATATTCTTAAGATATTGCAGTTTTTAACACCTGAGTAAATTAAGTCTGGTCCCTCTTTTGATTAATGGAAACAAAGAAACAAAAGAAAATTGTAGAACTGAAGAATTTGCGCAAGTCATGATTCTACCATCAGTTTGTTAATTTTTTAGCTCTAATTCAAAGTTTTCATGAAACTATTTCTTATTTATTCAATGTAACATTTTAAGCAAATCCACACTGTGTTTATCTTCTTCTCAATTTTTACTCTCGTGCAAATTATATCTTCAAATGGAACTAGACTTACTTACTCTCACATTTAGTCATTCAGTTGATAAAGATAAAATAAGAATCACACTTCCTTTGCACTGTCTCAGCTCCCGTTTTTGTAAATTAATAACATGTTGTAGTAAAACAATACTTTGAAAAGAACAAGTAATATTAAAAGTCGAATTTACTTAATTGTTTGGATTTTAGAGTTCAATTGAATATAGTGTAACATTTTGTCTCTCCTGAACGAAGGAGCGTGTCTCGATCGCGCTGTTTCAGTGTCTCTTTCCAACATTTTACCTGTAATACAAACTCCGTCGCATTAATGTATCTGAAATTTTCCGTGATTTCTCCTTGCTTTTGTGAGAAACGGCTCTAAAATTTTCGGACAAATTCGTGCAACGGCACTCCCAGGAAAGGATACAAAACCCCGAAACAGCGCAGTATGAAGATAAGTTTTTTCATTCGGGAGACGATCATTTGTTCTAGGTAAATGATTTTTAAGAGAAAGTAACGTTGGTTTTTGGTATTAAACGTACATATTTCCTAATATCTCTTAATTTTTTGCTTGTGCTAAAGATGCAAAATAATGTCCTGTCTTTCTTTACTGTCCTCCCGAGGACTCATCTTTAATTTCTGTTTCTTTGAAAAAAGTATGATCAAGTCGGTATACAGCAAAAAATTTTATGTCGCACCAGACACCGCCTCTGGCCAATTATGCCCAGTGATATTCTACAGGGTGATGCAAAAGTCCCGCACCACTTGTAACTGTATTTCACCAGTAACGGACTTGGTATCACTTTTGAAAAAATAGAGATAGAGACTTGAAATTCTGCGAGTGCTTGTAGGTTATGTCAAATCCCTGTAACTTTAAAAAAAAAAATTGAAATTCTGCCTGTGCTCGTTGGTCAAGTTAAAAGCATCTACCTCTGGGAGCCCCCCAAGATTTTAAGGGGACCACCCTGAAATGGGGCAAAAATTCCAGAGGTTGTAGGGTAGGTGCGTGACTTTTGTATCACCCTGTATGAAAAACTAACCGTAACTTATTACTATTTTCTTGTTACTCAGATCAAATGTTTGTAATTTCCTGTGCCTCAAGCATTTTGTGATTATTTTAATGGAGTTTGGTCATCGTTCGTTCAGTAATTGCATACGTTTGCTTGCTTTGAAAAATCTTTCTGATTTTCATGTCTATTCACTTTTGCACGTCCTTTGATACTATTTTTCTGCTTAATGAGTTTATCTAAGACAGATCACAATACTGCCGTGCTTTGGAAAAACGCCGCATGAAAATTGGAGAGTTGCTAAATTTTCTTCGAAAAAATGTGTATTTCTGCGGAAAGTTAAGCAGATTTTTCCTCGAAATTTTCGGATGAAATTGTGAATGAATTGCCTGAAAAATTGGAGGAAAAATATTAAGAATTTTCCCAGTAAATTTGTTTGTTTATAGAAGGAACTATGGCAACACTTGAAGGCTCACTCGGCGTTCTTCCTTAGCACGGCAGAATAGCTCAGATGATGCGAAGACGATAAAACTTGAAAGCTAGAGCAATCAATGCAATGAATAATGAAACTGGTTTTTCATTGACAAATAATTAAAAAAATATTTTACTCCGCTCATCTATTTGTCATTATCACTATCTACACATTGATGCTTGTCTAAAGTATTACTGTTTCTCTTGAGGGATCGCTGTTCCAGGGTTGCCACGTTTAAGGAATATTGTAAACTGTCCGGGAATTTTAAGAAATCAGGGTAAACTGGAAAAAGTCATGATAAAGGGCGAGAGTGTCTGGGGAAAACTGATTGATGGCTTTCATTTGTGTTCTAGAATGGGTTTGATTTCTCGATCAACATATTTTGCGTGAAAACTATTTTGAATTACGTCTCTCTGAGCATTCCGCACATTCTCAAATGTTCGGGGGTTTCCACAATTTGTCAGGGAATTGCATTTTTTAAACTCCGTGGCAACCCTGTACAAGTGCATTCCTATATGTTTTATACTTGAATTATTTGTGGACTTACCTTGTAAGCGTATATCTTTCATGTGAGATAAACTCTTCTTCTCTGTAATACTTTCCTCTCGAAAACTGGAATTGTGTGGGCATTTTTCAGCATAACTTTGGAAGAAATTTTGTACTATTTTTACTTAAATAGTTAAAATTATATAATATATTTTCATCGTACCCAATTTCAATTTATTGATCTACTTTTATCCTTCACATCTCTAATCCATTAAAAAAATTATGTTTTTTGTGTGCCTAATCCCTAATTTTAATGTTTTAAAAAATGATAGAATAAGAACTATAATTTTTTTAAATGGGAACCCTGGGTGCAGTATTAAAAATATTCCAAATTTTAAATAACTATTATCAAAATTTCGCATAATTTTGGTTGTCAATTCTAAAGGGAAAACCAAATTGAGGGTATCACGAATGAAGAACTTCAGCGACAGTTTTGTGATCTCAAGACCGAAGCCTTTGAATTCGAAAAATTTCATGCAACTTGAGGCTGGAATTTGGACAAAAAGAAATTAACTTTTTTGTTCCAATTTTCACAGAAAGTATCCCGAATCGAAGTTTTACGCAGAATGACCAATATCTCGATTTTTTCGAAAATGCAACTCCTTTTAATCATGCATGATACCGTTCAATTGAATTAAAAAGAAATAAAGCCTGGTAGCATCAATTTTGTGCAGTTAAATCATCAATAACTATTTCCCAAGAACAAGAATGAAAAAGTTTTTTTCAAAATTTAAGTTGCATATTATTAAATCTTTTAACAAAAACTGTTCACGATCCCTGATTTTTTGTTGAATTTAATCAAGGCCTTTCCAATACTACCACCACATTAAGTTTGAACATTTGAAGAGCTTTCAAGTTGTGCTCTCTTTATCATGCCATAAAAAATAATCGGGCGGAAAAATTTGTCTTGCTTCGTATACACGTCAGTATACTTTGGATACATAAATGCTTACATTTTCAAGTGCGCTCACCCATGTGAGAAGCAACAGCTCTGTATAAGTTATTCCTTTTATTTCCTCCATTTTTGTTATGGATTACGAACATACCAGCACTGAAAGCATACTATTATCAGTGGTCTGGTTGGATTAGAATTCAAGAAATAAGTTCAAAAAGCTACCTATGAAGGAATGACAATTATTCTTAATCCCGTCACTTGGAATTTCTAACAAATTAAAGAATTTAAAAATTGATACTCCCTATGATGGAATGGTTAAATGATGAAAGTAGAATTTAATTAATTACACATCTTGTTGCAAAAGAACATAACCGACGGTAGAAGTTACCTCTTTTATATGACCCTAATTAGACAGTGTGCAAAATAAATTTCAATATTTAGAGGAAAGAAAATCGTAGCTTCAACATTAAGTGAAGCAATTGAGGCATGCCTGTATGTCTCATCCTAGTCCCTCTGTGAATAACTAGTGCTCCGTAAGATCCTTACGTAATGTTCCGTCAAGTTTCACTTTTATCCATCGAATTATTTGGCGTGAAAATAAGTTGAATTGAATAGTGACTCTCGAACAGGTACACCTAAGTATGAGGTGTTATCGGTAAAATCCATTTTAACCGAGTGTCTATCGCTCAGTCTCTAAGATTTTACTCAAAATTATATTTATAAGACAGAGTACTCATCTTTTTGCTGCTAACAAAATATTTAGAACAGTTCAGCTTTGTCACACCTTTAAAACATCTTGAGAAAATATTCAGAATCAGAAAGTCGAAGTTTTGAGTTCACTGAGGTTTCAAAAACTCTCAAAGGGATTTATTTTCCCCCACAAGTTTAAGTTTTTGCAATCATCAAAAGTTTTCCAATCAGAATGATATTTTGCCTATTCCACTAATTTTTTTAGACGCAATTAAGCTCTGATTAAAGTAGCAGTAATATCCAAAATTTTCTTTGATTGTTCTAGAACTCAGAACTGTTTACGTTGACTTACGGAGCGCTGGTATCACAGCTGATGAAAGACTATGAAAACGTTGATGAAGTTAACAAACAACTCGAAAGAATGGGCTACAATATAGGCATAAGACTAATTGAAGATTTCCTAGCCAGAACTGGCACTGGCAGATGTTACGATTTTCGCGACACTGCGGAGAAAATTCAGGTAAGTTCTTTCCCTGTTATTTTTTCACGTTCATAATATCGAAATAATCAAATCTAGCTTTAAAGGAGCTGATCGACTTCTTACTTGTAATGGTGAACTTTGCCATGCATCTTTTAAAAGATGTGTTTTTTCATAGTTACAAATTTTTTCACTGCAAATGCCAAAGCCCTCAAACTGAAGGAGCTCTCAAGTTGTGTATTGTGTATTCAAGGCTGTATCTTAAAAAGGCTTCTCGAAGCTGTTGGAATTGAATTGGTGAAAGAGGCCGTTAAGGTTGCCGTTGATGAAGGCCCATAAATACTACCCTTGTCACGTAGCAGTTCGAATGGATACGAATTGGGTATTATTTCGGGAACAACAGGTAACAATTTTTGGGCCATATTTCTTGCTTGTTTGAAAACTGATAGAAAATCAGGGAAGGGATGACTGTGGTAAGGGGGGAGAAGGCTGAGGCGCTCGACGTCATTTTGATAATAGGTGGTCTGAAAGTCTGATGTGTTTGTGCCCCATGCCTGAAAAAACCATGCAGTCTTGTCTATATAGATAGCAGCTGCAGAAATGAAATTTGAAGCCAATCTTTATTGCAGTAGTAAGTTTAATGGGTTCTTTATCATCTCACACTTGCCCGATGAGCGGCCAACCGTGTGGGTAGAAAATAAAAAGTAAATGGGGATGGGGACTGTTTTCGGTTTCAGGACATTTCGTCACCGATTTTTTTGTCGGTGTGCCTGTTTTTCACGGTAGCGTACGTCCACGCGGAAAATAAGCAACAGTGACTTGGTCCAAGCATGTTATTTTAGTCCTTGTGTAAAATTATATTGAAATGAGAAAATTGAGAGGGAAGGAGGTGTTGTTATGGTTAGTCTTTTTTTTAAATGAAGTGTTACTCTCTTCTTTTGATTCATCGTTTCAAATTGTCATTGGTGAACACTTGGTTTTATTTCTATCCTTAAAATGTTCGATTTAAAATATACCTTAAGTATACTTTCTCCTCTTTTTTTAAAAGAAAATATTACTTCAATTTGAACAAATTTACATTTTTAAAACGTCGCAAATATTTGTAAAACCTTTCCAAGCGATCGCATCGATATCAATCTCAATGAGCCGTACTTTATTATAATACATATCATTAATACATACTTTTTTTCGTCAGATTAAATGAGAAAATTCCATGCAGAGAGTGCAAAAATTTCAAAATCATGAGTTGAAGAACGCTGACTCCGCGATTTTAAATATTAGAGCGAAACAGCGGAGCAGCATGCTGCCAGCGCGGAACGCGCATTGGCGCCTACAAACCTAACAGGGATACTTCACGCATTGCGCAATGCGTGAAGTATCCCTGTTAGGTTTGTAGGCGCCAATGCGCGTGTCGCGCTGGTCGCCCTCGCCCGCCGCGCCGTGCCGCGGGGCTTCAGGCAACTATTTCGCAACAGAGGTGTTGCACAGTATCATACAAAATTGAATGCGTTCCAACATACTAAATATGACAGCCATACTTTAATAGCACAGAGCTCTCCTCGCAAAATAAATCAAGATACTACGGCACAAAAAGAGAGCGGTTGTCCAAATACTCACCATGTCCTAGTATCCGAATTAATAACTTCTAGCATACTTTTTCAATTGCATTAGAGAAAAAAGTGACTTGATTGAGGCAGAAACATTCTTGAGTATGCCGTCACGAAGATTTTATTTTGAACCAAGAATAAAATTGCTGAATGAAAGTGGGTTTCCGATTGATGTAAGTGAATTTTCTTTACATGTAAGTATCTATTCCTCTTTAACTTCTACCTCTTCAACCTCTCTAACGTCTTGTAACTTCTTTTCGATACCACGAAAGAGTGGCAGGTTCCCGGAAAACACGCCGAGAAAACCCGAAAGAAATAAAGACGTCAAGATCGAATGGAAACGTGAATGGAAAGCTTATAACAACCCCACGCAGTAATCCGAAAGAGGTCATCAATTTGATGTTGGAGAACAATCGAGTTCATGCATAAAAAATTAATCCGTACAAAAATTAAAATCACCGCATTTCAACTTGAGAGTAAAGTCATGTTGGCACCGGCCGAACGATACCAAAAGCCAGATGCCCTGTCACGCTAATAACTTCTGTCAACTGGATGTCTAGGTATTTGTGGCCAGATGAAATAAACTTTTCCTCGTGAACCTCGCGAACTCGATTCGATGAAATGATAGACCTGGTAGTTGATAGTTTCGACTAGAAATATCCGCATATTCGAAGGGAGGATAATCAATTATTGATCTCACTTAGAACAATAAACTGACAAGAACTTTTCCTACCAAACTTGAAAATAATCTCAAGGTTCTAAAAATGATTGCTCCCTTCCTCCACAAATGCATTATTTGTTATTTTTCGTTTTCAATTCTTTGGGGGCATTTGACCCAGTAACTCAACGGGCACCCCCACACTTTTGACATGCAGGAGAGGGGCAGCTTGAAAGCCCTCTGGCGCACAGTGGATCGAGTCAATGGTCAGACATGAACTTTTGGACTAAAACTGCGAATTTTAATGTTTATTTCGTCACATTTCAAACTTTAAGGGGTGCTTCATGAAACGAATTTCACGAGGAAACCAATGGAACCCTTTCGAAAACCTCAAAGTTTTCTTTTAAATGGAGTTATGAGCGTTTTAAAGCTTCCAAATTGTGTCCGGCCTCCCCAATTGGCTCGATCCACTGTGCGCCGAACCAAATGAAGGCGCAAGAACGAGATGATGCGTTTTTGCAACTAAGCCCGAGGTACGCGAAAAAAGTTCTACGGTTTTAGGTTACTTATTCCCGATGTTCTTCTATTATTATGTCTGGATGGCAGATAAAAAACATCTTCAACAGTACGTCTCTGCAGCTAACTCAAAACCGTCAAAATTCGAGATACCATTCGCTCTTTTGCAGTCTCGCCATCGATTTGGAACTAAGAGATTCAGAGCGGGTCAATTTAAACTTCTTTTTTTTTCATTCTTTTTTTTTTGTATTTTTCTCGTATTTTAATTTTGGCGCTTACGTGAGTCTCTTTGAGAACGATCAACTCAATTGTTGATGACTTATGCAACATAATTAGGTACAAAAGTCACATGCATACTGGAAATATAAGAACACATTGGATCTAGAGTCCAGACTCTTGAAAACATTGACAAGAAAAAGGACTCTTGATTCAATCAGATTTAAGCTTAAATCAAAAGAAAATCCGCTCAAATTAAGAGGCTTGGTTCTTGATTTACCTAAGCTTAAATCTGATCGAATCAAGAGTATTTTTTCGTGTCGATGTTTTCAAGAGTCTGGATTCTAGATCCAATGTGTTTTTTTCCAGTGTATAATGCGAATAGATTTTCTAAGTAACTCCTGGAAGTGCATGCATTGATAATTATACGTTTTTGCAAGAAATTTTCCAAGAATATTCTCTCTTGAAAAGAAAAATTCACACACAATTTCGTGCTCTAAGATGATCAAGAAATGATGAGATGATCTTTCTTCAAGAAATCTAAACATAATAAAGGAGATCTACTTACAGCATTGGTAATTATTGAGATATGCACCTTTTTAATCTGCCCCTTATACGTTTTTGCAAGAAATTTTCTAAGAATATTCTCTCTCGAAAAGAAAAATTCACACACAATTTTGTGCTCTAAGGTGATCGAGAAATGATGAGATGATCTTTCTTCAAGAAATCTAAACATAATGAGGAGATCTACTTACAGCATTGGTAATTATTGAGATATGCACCTTTTTAATCTGCCCCTTTTAATGCTAGCAAGTAGGTACCTATGCTCATCATTTTTGTAATTTTCAGTCAGCATTCCGGCTTTATTTGGGTATTTCTCCGCAAATCATGAATTGGAGTAGCAGTGGTGATGAGTTCTCTCTGCAGTTTGACTCCAATCCACTGACAGAATTTGTCGAGCTTCCTGATCACTGTCTCAATTTGAAGTATTGCAATGTCCTCACCGGAGTTCTTAAAGGGGCCTTGGAAATGGTTTGTACTTAAAACTTCACTTTCATAGTTGTTATAAGTAAGTAACAATGAAAAACTTGTTTGCTATAACTACAGGGCCGGATTTACACACTTGCCGCCCATGGGCCGCCTGTATTTTGCCGCCTTCTCTCATTTGTTTTGAAAAATCAATAAAAACCATGAAGTGGACGTGTATGAGACGCGTTAACTCGTGTCGGACACATTTTTTGCGAAAGCCCTGTCAACACTACTAGCAAAAGTTTAAAGAACTTTGCGCGAAACTTAAGTTCCGTAAACCTATCTCTGTGTGGTCAAGGCCTTCCATTTATAAGAAATGCACGAACAAATTACGGCGGGGACGTCCCGTAAAGGGTTGGCGGCAGGGCGTTGACGAAGAGATGTTGCGGTGTCAGTTGCCCGATAACCTCTGGGAAGACAGGCATATGTGGCGTTTGGGTGTCGTAGAACGCCAGAGTGCGTTATAAAGCGACTTTTTTATATTTTTTTATACGAACAAATTATGAGAGAACAAACATAAATGTGGTTTCATAATTTCAACTTCCGCCGCCGTGCCGCGCTGACCGCACTGTGTTTGGCGCAATGCTTGAAATATTCTGACAGTCTTGTAGGCGCTATGCGTTTCACGCCGACCGCTGCTGACTGCACTTTGTTTGACGCAATGCGTGAAGTATTCATGCTGCCTTGTAGGCGCTATGCGTTTCACGCTGACATGAAATTGATGCTTAGTCCTGATTTCTTGCCAAGACTGAATACCTTTATATTTTTTCACCAATGAGTCTTCATTATGTTTCAGGTTCAAATGGATATAGCCTCATGTTTTGTGCAAGATCATTTGAAAGGAGACCCATGCACTGAATTAAGGGTCAAGTTTATCAAACGCCTGGAAGATGCCATACCTGCTGGCGAAGACTGAATACATATGTTGTGTTACGTGATAAAAAGTATTATACCAACTTTTTGGGTTCATTGTGTAACTCATCATATTTTGTTTATTATATTATTTTTCTTTTTAATGTTTAATATTGTCTATTTGGTTAGGTGGTATAGTTTTGTAGATCTAAATCCTTATCAAGGCCAGAACAAATTTGCTTTTATTTTGAGGCAGGTTTTTAGGTAGAGTACCTACCTATTAGTTCAACCTCTTTTCGGAGAGAAAACTTGTATCGTTTATTGAAAAAAATGTACTGATGGCTTGTAACAGCCAGAGAAGGAAAATAACTGTCCTTAACCGCTTCTAAAAATCCTTCTAGTGAGCACATCTTGAAGGCATTTATGAGTTGCAGCGAATGAGTTAGGGGTACCTAATGAGTGTGTTGTCTTCAGTAGAATAACTTCTCCAGAGACACCTTAAAGATTCTCGGTTTTTTTTATAAAAAGGTATTCTACAGTTAATGTAATTTTTTGAGAGATTCTCTATGAAGTATTCTTTCTCTAGCAAGAAAAGAAGAAAGGAGGAGGAGTAGACATCGTAACAAACTCCTCTCAAAGAATATGAGAGACACACCTTTTAAAAAAACTGTTCGAAATTTCTTGGAAGAAATCACCGGAAGTGTTTTGTAAAGGTTCCCTACACCTTCTACTTCTCCAAAAGTTTTGCTTAAAGTTTACAATGAATTGATTCAGTTTCGAAAGAGAATCCAAGCAAAATAATTTAATATGGAGAAATATTGTTCAGAGTTTTCTTTTTCATTCGACTCTGTGTAAGAAATGAATTGTGAGTCCTTGTTCATAGAATTTCAGATAGGTACTTTTCATAGTCTCAGAATTTTTGACATGAGAAGGTAAGACACCAATTAAGTCCTTGACACCAACAACTCTATTTTTTTGCATAAATTTAACTTGATTTTTTCAGCAAAGTCAGTCTAAAGTGTCAAGTTTTTTTCACGCTTGTTAATTTTCCAACTTACTCTGTAATTACACTTTCTAAAAGTTTAAGCACCCACATAATTTGTAAAAATTTCAAGTTAAAGCATACAATTTTGGCTTTGAGAATGTAATACCTAGTGTGTTTGAATATGCTTGATACACTCAAATGAAATAAAAATACACTTTCAACTAGATATGTCCTTATTAAGTGTTATTTTCTTAAGAGACATTTTTCCATTTTTCTCGAAGGTAAATAGATATTGCTGCTCTAATTTTTAGGTACCTACTCCTCAATTCTTTCTTTTTCCATCCAAATATGTGTAAAAATTCATCAATCATCAATAAATCTGCTATCATAATATTACTCCTGGCCGTTATGCGGTTCAACCCTTGAAGAGCCTCTTGTGCCCCCAAGGTCCCCTCCTTGGGTCCTACTTAAGAAATTGAAAAAATAGAGATCAAGTCGAGATTATACATATGTACCTACCTACGCGTGATTTTTCAGGGTCAATCAAACTTTCCGTGACTGAAAGAGAAGAATTTTTCATTTTTTTTTTCAACCGAATTGTTTTTAGATATATATAAACGAAAACCTCCTCATAGTGTCAAGTAGATCTCTAGAATAAACTTTGACAAAAAATGAACGTTTACCTACATTTTCTTGAAGGGCAAATTCCCGATTTCATCACTTAATGTTTAAAAATCTGGGTCATAATTCCAAAATATAATTAAAACGGGCTTATCTAGAGGTTACCATCTGTCAATGTGAATGATAATAATAGAACTGATTGTCTAGATCTGAAGAACTAATTATGACAAAAAATGGTACTTGTAGGAGTCAGAGATCTAAGCTTGTACTTACTCGTGATTTTTTAGGGTTAATTCAACTCTCAGTGACTGAAAAAGACCGTTTTTCCTACCGAATTTTTCCCAGATATTTTAAAGGAAAGACATACAAAAATAAATCAATTTAACTTTATTTCAAAATCTGAAGTTAAAACTCTTAAGGGTAACAGGAAACATCAGGAGCAAGGAAAAGTTTTTCTTTTGTATCGAAAGGTATCATTTCCAACAACATAACAAACCATTTCCAACATTTTAAACATTTTCTTAGAATGAATAAATTTGTCCAGATTGTTCCGGAAAATTACTAATTCATTTGTTTTCTATTAACTATGAACCAAAATACAAGAAAAAGAATAATTGGCTCCAGTCAATGAGACCAACTGAGATCACACTATAAGAGAATTAGGAACCTTGTATATCACCCCCTCGATACGCATGGGTTGTTGAAGTGCGTGAAGTGAAAGAAGTGCGTAGATTTCAAAGAGGGAAAATTTTGCAAAAACTTTTGAAATATCTAAGTTAGTAAACCCCTCTTGTTATGTATCAGGTGAAAGTGCTGTCTTGACCTTTTATAAGTTTTTATTACCTTACTTTGGTAAATTCAAACAAATATTTTACTCAAGTGCACTTTTAGTTTTTCTGTTGTATATTTTGCAGTTAGTTTTGTGCTAAGCATCATTGTGAGTGATCTCCTTCATTTAAACAACGTGTCGACGCAATTTTTTTCTTCTTTTTCGTAACGATTTTTAAACGTCTCCTATAGCCGAATTTATCAATCAATGCTACCAGGATCAGGATTTATATTGTTTCCTCGGAGGAAACGAATGAAGATCACTTTGAAGAGCAGATTGAGATGCCCTCCTGGCACTCTAGCAGATTCATTTAGTACATAGAATCGTAGGTAATATGATTAGGTGAACTGGGGCCATCCATGTTCTGATCGACGAGTTACGAGTCCGAGGTGTGCCCTGAGATTAGGTCACCTTTTTCGATTCACTTTCGATTCGGATGGCCGAGTGCTCGTGTATCGAAAACAATCGATTATGAATTGAAATGGTGACCCGGCTTGACATAGGAGTCACGGAATTCGGGACCTAGAAAATGCCTAAAAAAGGCGCCAGCTCTCCCATTTACAGTACGACTCCATGTACTCTTTGGCAAATGGCGCAGAGGCAACTTGCTTGATTTAGATGAAAACCCCTTGATGCTGCAATTTGTGCTCATTGGACGTCAGTGGTACATGCACAAAAATTGAAGGCTTCCTAGTTTTGATTCCCCACAAGCAAAACCAAAACGCCTTCAATTTTGTGTGTATGCAATACGGACGTCCAACGGACACGAATAGTTGCATTGTGACGTTGTCATCCTAATCGCGCAAAAAGTCCTCCTCGTTGTACCTATCGCCGCAAGTTACCTCGTAGCAAGATACAGCTGCAATCAGCAAGGGCGACTAATTATGAATTACACACTCAAGTGTTCCTTATTCGACCAAAAATGAGGTGAACGGAGATATTTTTGGGCAAAATGAGAGACGACGATTCTCCATTTGCGACGTTGCAGACGTCCGTAGACATTTTATTTTTCTTTCGAGAAGCTGGTCGACATAAAACTTAAATTCTCCAAGAATTTTCGTATTCGATAGCTGAAAGATTTGGTTCAAAATTTAAAGTCGTGAATTTGGATTGTTTCTCATGGAAGAGATGAAATAAGAACGGAAATTTTGAAACACCGCAATGGAGATACGTGGTTTCGCACTTCAGTCGGTGCCATACGGACATCCATCAAGTTTAAATAGTTGCATCAAGTCCCCGTCACCCCGCCGACCAACGCGTCTGTCGATCGAATCAACTACAGGTAGTATGAGCAGGGAGTCAAAACGCCTTCAATTTTTTGAACGCAATGCGGACATCCGTCGAGGTTGTATAGTTGTATCAAGGCGCCGTAGCAAACGCGTCCCATTGTTTGTCGTTACAGACGAATATAACTTGAGAGAGGAAAGTCATAATACCTTCAATTTTAGAACTACATATTTTTGGGCAAAATCAGAGACGACGTTTCTCCATTTGCGACGTTGCAGACTTCCCTAGAAATTTTATTTTTCTTTCGAGAAGCTGGTCGACATAAAACTTAAATTCTTCATGAGTTTTCGTATTCGATCGCAGAAGATTTGGTTCAAAATTTAAAGTCGCAAATTTGGATTGTTTCTCATGGAAGAGATGAAATGAGAACGGAAATTTTGAAACACCGCAATGGAGATACGTGGTTTCGTACTTCAGTCGGTGCCAAACGTACACGTACATCCATCAAGTTTAAATAGTTGCTTCAAGTCCCCGTCACCCCGCCGACCAACGCATCTGTCGATCGAATCAACTACTGGTAGTATGAGCAGGGAGTCAAAACGCCTTCAATTTTTTGAACGCAATACGGACATCCGTCGAGGTTGTATAGTTGTATCAAGGCGCCGTAGCAAACGCGTCCCATTTTTTATCGTTACAGACGAATATAACTTGAGAGAGGAAAGTCATATTGGCTTAATTTTTTACAAACCCTTGCAATTTATTTTTTGGAATACTGGAAAGTGTGTGCACGTTTAGCTCGGAAACTTAAATCCATTTTGCGAATTAAAACTTAAAAAAAAAAAAAAAAAAAAAAAAAAAAAAAAAAAAAAAAATTGCTCTTTCGGATCATTTGTTTCTTGGACTATGAGGCTCATTTTCCTGCGGACGATCATATTGGCATCAGAGGCTAATATCCTGTGCGTGTTGGACCGATTGTTTGGAAACAGTCATAAGTCCTCGCGCAATCGATTCTACACCTCGAACTACGTAGCATATTCGACACTAATATCGAAATTTATTTCCCGTTTGAAATCGAGATAAATCGCTAGTGGTTACATGGATTAAATTTTCAGGGTCAAAAATTGAAAGTGCTCCGATCGGACTGAAATGAAGCTAATCTCATTGAAAATGGCCCGAGGAGTCCAATTTTCTGGTCGTTAAAGCTCCGCGAGCATAATGACCTTCAAAATGTGCATCTTGAAACAAAAATTGGACCTAAAAACATTTATTTGGAAAAAATAGTTTAATTTATGGTGAAATTTATACAATTTTCTTAAATTGCAAAATTCCTATCTTTTGTTAAGCTGTGCTAGTGTGCTACTTGGCATGGAGATATCGGAGGCGGGGGGCCGGTTCTCGGGAATGCGTTAAACCAAAATAGGATTGAATGAAGGAGCAAAATTGCCTGGTTTTCACCTGATATCGACCTGTGACGATGCTTTTATGCATTTTTCTACTTTCCTACCCTTGAGTTTAAGTCTCCGAACATGTAAATTGTACACCTTCATAAAAGGTGTTGAAGCTGAAAGATTGTGAAGATTATAATATAGCGTAGGTTTAGACCACGTTTCGATGTGTGAAACCAAAAAGGACCCAAAATGGCGGGGCACTTTCAATTCTTTCTTCAAAAACTGAAACGGCAGGAATGCACCTATGTCTAAGGAAACTTTTTGGGTATTCCTATAAAAGGAAAATTTACCGGAGGTAAAATTGAATTTAAAAAAATGTCAAAAGACATACTGTAGTTTTTCAAAACCTTGAGTTTGAAACAAAAAAATGATGAAAATCTGTACAAAGAAAGTCGTATTTTAAAGGCTTTTTCTCCTGAATAAACCACATATTTTAATTTAAAAACATATCAATAAGTATAGTGTTTACTAAAACATGATTATCAACAATATTTTCGGAGTTTTTAGAGAACCGTCGTTGGCATCGTGGTAAATGGCTTTCACGTATCAAAGCGTCCAATTTGCGAGGCGAAAAGGGGTCTCAAAATAGTATATCGATATTCTCGCCAGTCGATGGTGAAACTCCTAAACCAAATATCTCGGTTTGCGACGTTGCGGACTTCCTGTTTTACTTTCATTTTTGAATAGAGAACTACTCAACGTCAATTCTTAAGAACTTCCGTGATTATTCTTCTCTCTAAGAGGCAAATTTTGTGAAAATTTCAAGGAATGATGATGATTTCTTTTTCTTTAAAAAGAGAAATACGAGCGGAGATTTTTAAACAGCGCAATTGAGATACATAATTTCGGAGTTTTACCATCGCTATGCATTATAAAACCTTCCTTTCAAACAAGTGGAACAGTGATCTTCAGGTAGAGTTTTATTTCTGGAATTTGCGGAGAGGCGGATCCAGCAATTTGGCAACACCGGATTCCCTCCGTTTAAACCCATGTTAAATAATCGATGTTTGTCAAGGCACCTGGCCCTCCTAGAATCGAAACATTTCCCTAGGTCTAAATGGGGAAAAAAAATATTGCCAATTTGCTGGATCCGCCAATTAATTTGCGACAATTGAGATGTTGCATGTGTGAGGAATTTGCAATTTGACTATTGATTCTTATGTAAAAGTTCGCGAGAATCACGATGGCCCCAATAGTTTTCTCTGAAATCAACTACCAAGCTCAAAAAAAGCTCTCAAGTTGAGGCCAAAATGGAGGGGATATCCCACGCTATCCTGAGAGTCCGCGTCTACATCAAGACAAACTCGTCTCCATGCAAAGATAGGGAGCAAATACATTGACAGAGCTGTCACCTTATTTGGGGACTCTAAAACTGAAAACACGGCAACCCTGCTAATGTATTTGCTCTCTATCTTTGCATGGAGAGTTATTCTTGACTCTCAGGATAGCGTGGAATATCCCCTCCATTTTGGCCTCAACTTAAGAGCTTTTTTGAGCTTGGGAGTTGATTTCAGAGAAAACCCACTGGTTTTCTCTGAAATCAACCCCCACGATGGTCCCACTGGACCATCGTGTTTCTCGCGAACTTGTACATAAAAATCAATAGTCAAATTACAAATTCCTCACACATGCAACATCTCCATTTCATTCCGATTCTTGGACTCAACAGCCACAGGAGCATACTTGTAATCCCAGCGTTGCCGGGTCGCAAAAACTCGGACAGAGACTCTCACAAGGCGACTTAAATCTAAACACCACGTACGGCTTCTTTCTCCTGTCCACAAACGGAAGACCCGTTCCTGGGTACGATACCGCCACGCCACTCAACGAGTCATCAATGAAATAAATATTACCGTCCTCCCCTTCAGTCAAGGAAAACAGTATATTCAATCGAGGGTCACGGATGTACATGAAGTTCCTCGCGAATGGACAGTTTGGGTTGTAGACTGTAATCCCGTCATTCTCCGCAAAGCCGGACCAAACTCTGCCCCTCTTGTCACAAAGTATCGTGAAGGACACCCCTTTCTTGCCATGGTACCTCACAGTTTTCGCAACTTCGGAAGATGGTAGTTTGTCCAACAGGGCTTGCGTGCACAGAGAATAAAGCAACCGACCACTGATCTGGGAGTAGTATAGCAGTTTCCCGTCCGGCGAAAGAGTCACCATGGACACACCAAACGCAAGAGCCCCCACGACGATGTTCCCACGTGGACCGCATGTGCTGTTCCCCACGTTGTACAACGGTTGACCAATAATGGTAGGTAAAAAGTTCGGAATAGGCAAGAGGGTTTTATCCCCTTGGAACGCGATGTAAGATTTCCCGGCACACAAGTCCAACACAATAATTGTGGATTTCGCTCCGTCCGCGATGTACGCCACGTTTCTCTTGGGGTCCACAGCCATGCTTCTGAGGTACGATGTGGGTGTTGCCACATCGGCATCAAAATAATAAATGCGTTCGACACAGTCGTTGCATAGGTTGAGCGCAACCACCTTGGTCCCGCCCAAAGACCCTTGGTAGAGAACCTGTTTGCAATCCCTGGCACGGCCGACGTCCAAACAGAGGATAATATTGCCCTCTTTTACGTAAACTAGCGTTATGACGCTGATGAAGTGATGCCGGAGGCCTTTTGTCGTTGGTGGACAAGTCGAGTAGTTGATGACACCTCCGTATGGGTTGTTCATGCAGCGGTTAGGGTAAGGGAGCTCTCCACACTTGGTGAGTTCGGCCACGGCGTACTTGCCGTTGCACCCGTCGTTGGTGTTGAGAGGGTCAATGCTCGCCGGGTAGCATGCGAATTTCCGACCGCAAGGGGTCATTACGAACCCAGTCGGCCATTGGTCTTGGAACTCGTAAAAGACCTCGAGTCTCGGGTCATGACACATCGGGTCCTCCGGAAGTTTACAGCATTCGTTACACTGGTTGCCTTGCGCCTGTAGTGTAGACACCATGGTAAGGACAATCAACAGTACTCGTGGTTCCATTCTATTATAAACCTACGGGGAAAAATGAACTGATAAAAATGGTGATTAGGTCAGCAGCCTGATTGTTAGAATTTTTTTTGGTCGGGACGACATAGATGACATAGATTAAAAGGCGGAGCGTGATTGGTTGGCTATGTCATCTTATCGCTGCCTTGTCGTGCCTATGTCGGGTGGAACTCACGACAAGCTAAGGGCACCCTTTCCGACAGCACGTCGTCCATTCCACCTGACAAAGGCACGACGAAGCAGCGATAAGACATTGCAGACCAATCACATTCCGCCTTTTAACCTATATCATCTATGTCGTCGCGACAAAGAAACAATTTCAACAATCAGGCTGCAGGTTAACAATAATGAGTTTCATCCTTTTGGAATTGCATTTTAGAGGGTATGTAATAGAGTGCTCATTTACCTTTCTGTATGAGAATTCAAATGCTGCTAAAAAAAATTTTCGATAAAATGGTAATCTTTAAAGAAATTTTCAAATATTTCTGGTTTGCATTTCAAATATACGAGAATAAATTGCGAATATAATTGTATGAAACATTTAAAGAAGGAAAACCCATAATATTACTGGTTAAGTATATTATTTTATGAAAAAAGGGGCGTATCATCCGATACCACGATTATTCTAACGCGAGTTCGAATAATTGCGCTGAACACTGTGCGGCAGGCGGCGTTACACTATATTAGCGCCTGCAAGACCGTAGGAATACTTCACGTATTGCATCAAACAGTACGGCCCATATTAGCGCCTACAAGACTGCATGAATACTTCTCACATTACGCCAAACGCAGTGCAGTCGGTCGAAACGCATATTAGCACCTATAAGACTGGAGGAATGTAGTAGGATTGCGTGAGAGCATTCTTGACTTACTGCTCCAGTTTTTACCATAATTAAAGGGAAAATATGTATCCTCATTGTTACGATTCAGAAACTCGGATGATATTTAATTTTTTTGTTTTTTTTTGGTTACATTATAAGAAAATAGAATGAACGAAAATATCACGTCGAAATTTTCGATACTTTTATTTAAGATCATTTAGGTGAACTCGCGGAAACTTTTCAGAAAAACTGTGTGTAGTTTTTTAAAAATAAAAAATATGCAAGAGTGGTGCATGACGTTGAAATTAGAGATACATATACGCTTTTTTCCGGGTGCACCCGTCAGGTTTTGAATCCATTCATCTCTGATTATACTTAAACATGGTTGTTTTACGAATAATTATGTGTAGTGTGTTTCAGTGGTGGCGGCTGCTTAGCGGTCACAGGCCCCTAGTTCACTTTTTAAATTTCTATGAAAGCTCTCTGGGCCATTTGTGCTGCGAGGGCTCTCCATCGAAAAGAGACATGCCCGTAAGCGAGGAGGGAATGAACAGTCTTCCGCGGTGCAGTTATCTACCACAAACTACCAAGGTGGCCGGATTAACGCTTCCTCGTTGAATATTGAATATTCGCGCAAACTTGTGAGTTTCCAGTACCAGAAAAATTCGCCGAATCCTATATGCATCTCGAAGAAGGTAAAAAAGGGGGCATTCGCGCAATCCTATCGCGAGAATTTCAATCAATATTAACCCTTGAAACTTTTTAAGGATTTCATCATTCAGAGAAGAAAAATTGCAAATCTTTTAAGAGTTGACTTTGAGGAGACCTCTCTTGAAAAATAAAGTATGACAGGAAGTCTGCAACGTCGAAACTAAGATACCTACGTGGCTTAGGAGTTTCATAGGCGGTATGCTGCTCCAGTATTGGTCTCAAAAAATATTGGTGGCGGTGATACAGATCCTAGTACATTTTGACAAAAATTATCCCATCTCCTTAAAAGTACACATTTTCAGAAAATGCTCCGATGTTCATAAAGGTGGGTTGTAAACCACCTGAGTACACGTAAAGAAATTAATGCAACTATTTCTACAATAAAACGACCAATAAATCGCGGATCTTGACTACTGTGAGAAATTTCTTCTCCAAAATTTTACATATTTTTCAGAAATACTGCACTACTTTTCGCGCTTTTTAGAGAATATTTTTGATATTGATCTAAATAATCGCTAGCGATGTTTTGCGCAAAAATGATAACCAGGCTCTCCCACGAAAAATGAAATGTCACAGAGGAATTAAAACTTCGAAAACCGATATCGATGGCTAAGTACGAAACCACGTAGGTATCTCCATTGCGGTGTTTCAAAATTTATGTGTGTTATTTATGGTGTATTTTTCGACGGAATTTCTACGGAAAATGCTCCGGAAGGAGTGGAAACTAGAGTCCCTTTATACTGAGAGTCAAGACAACACCCTTCATGGAGTCACAAACGGGAATAAAGATTACAGAAATTGAACATTTTTCGTAATCTTTGATCGGCCCATTCTCGAATTCCTTTCTTCGTTCCTTCCCTCACTCCGTTTGTTCCTTGCCGAACCCGTAATTCCCCGGTCCATTCCAGATTATAATCTTTGCAATCGGTGAAACTGTAATCTTTATTCCCGTTTGTGACACTGTGAAGGCCTAAAATACGGGAACCAATCAGAAATGGATTCAAATTGTCTTGACTCTCAGTATAAAGGGACTCTAGTGGAAACATCAAGAGAGCTTTCAAAAAATTAAGTTGACTGGTTTTTCAATGAAAACAAATATATGACATGAAGTCTCCAACGTCGCCGACGGAGACACGTGGTTTCGCACCAGGACCATCGATATTTATATAATTCGGTTTGTTAAGTACATTTGCCAACGACTTTGATGACTTACCTAAAAGCACAACAGGTGACCAGAAAGACACTGTATGGTAAAGAAGAAATAGCAATAGAACTTGCCTTAATCGTCTCTTTTTTTCCTCTTTCTCATTTAAGATTACGTTCGTGATCACGCACTATCAATTGATCATCCTCAAATCGTTTCAATTTGACCGTCGGTACGGTTTTGCATGCCTCTGGGCCGCACGTATAGTAGAACGATCAGTTCAGGAAAAGAGTGCCGCTATAAATGTGCGAACTTATTGCTTTCAGTCCGGTGTGCGTTTTGCTTCTTCAAGTTTTTCGAGTTGTTTTGTAGTTATGGCCGGGCGCTTGCTGAAATTTTTATTGACAGGTGCAGCAGGTCATCGTCGCGCCGCAAGATAATCGGAAGAATCGTACTTTGGCCGCCTCGCGATGATTCGTCGCTTGGAGCAGAGTCCAGTGGCGTGGCGTGCTTTGCGATGTATCGATCAATCTGTCATTTAAACCTATGGAAAAGAATCGATAAGCAGGGTGTTCGTAACGAACACCTTGATAATCGATTCTTTACTATAGCTTCAAATGGGGAAATATCGATAATCGATTAACTTTCAAAGCCCCAACGTCCATTGGCGATGATTGTAAGTTAATAATGCTAGTTTTTATCCACCGAATTCCATTTTCACATCATCGAGAAAAACGCAAAGAGAGCATTACATTTGATACACATACATGTAACAATCGGTTCTTCTGAAGTACTAGCTGACGGTTCGGCGAACGTATGTAGTTTGATATTGATGACAATGGCACGGCGCTTGGATACAACTATTCGTGTTTAATGGATGTCCATGTTGCATACACACACATTTGAAGGGGTTTTGGCCTCGCTTACCTACAGGGTAGTTAGTCATGTTGCACCGCAATCTTACGCTCTCTATTCGTAAAAAATGAACAAACCGACTCGCCTTCTATATTCTGTGCAGAATATTGGGGAGAGTTTTCCTATCAAAAATGCAAACCTAGATTTTTCGATTCGACTTGACGAAATAAAAAGCGCGCTTCGGTGGACTCCGATACATTTTCCATATTCGTTCCTGCCTGAATAAGGGCATGATTTTGAGTTTCATTGAAATTGGTTTTACTAATCACGATTTCTTGTAAATCTCTCGCTTCTGTAGCAAAGTAAACCACCGAGTCCAGAGACTAATCTGAATGAGATCCAATTTATTTCGAAGTGAAATCATAGAGAAAAGTCAATTTCTGCGCTTATTTCGACCGATAAATAATTTTTGGATTGTCAATAATGACTAAATACTTGTAAAGAGTGGACTAAAGATACTATGGTGCGCAAAAATTACCTAAAATCAGACCAACTACACCACGTGTTGCCTTATGACCGAGTATGTTCTGTTAATTTACCAAGAAGTTTAACAGTATTTTCACTTAAAATTTTATACGTGAAAGTGCATAATAACCTGCAGGCAGCAGAATGCTTGTCAAAACGATAAATCCCTAACTACAGGTCGATGGCTGTCAGTTCGGAGGGAATGACTTAATTTTCAATGCTAATTTTAGGTTCATTTTTCAACGAAAAATTTCTGAATGACGTGAAAATTTGGATCACTGTGGATCAGAGGAAATTGTCCAGCAAAGCATTTTCATTCACATCGAATAACGAGATTTTAGAAGGTTCAAAGCAACACTCACGTGTACCCAAAGGAGGAAATTGAGTAGAAAAGCTAACGCTGAACGCAGCAATCAAAAAGGAAGCTAGGAAGGTACTCGCAACCAGCCAAAAAATGTACCTAAAAGAGCTAGGAATAATGAGCAGAACAATCTGCCAAAAAACACAGGGCTTTTGTAATTAAATGCACTATTCGTATTTCATATTTTTCAAATTCGTCTTATTTAGTTATCTAAAGATATCAGGTACAGGTTATAAAATTACAACAAGCAGAGATGAATTAGGTCCATCGCTACACAATAGATTGTAAATGAGCCGATAAAATTTTTATCCGTGAGCCCTCAAACTTCACTTACGTGGTTACAACTTCCTCTGTAGCAATTAAATGGTGACTTCAATCTTCTCACGGAACGACCTATGATTAACTTGTAGTTAAGGTGGATTGTGAAAATACACGAATTTATGCTTGATCGTCGTTTTGCCCTTTCAGAAAAATATGAAAAAATTCATATTCACCAACCTTCGAGATGCGAGCTGATTCTTGAGACTGTATCACTCCGCCAACTCAATCGCTTTCAGCTACAACAACCGCAGGAACATACTTGTAATCCCAGTGTTGCCGGGTCGCAAAAACTCGGACAAAGGTTCTCACAAGGGGACCTAAATCTGAACACCACATACGGCTTCCTTCTCCTGTCCGTGAACGGAACACCCGTGCTCGGATACATCATCTGCAAGCCATTGGACGAGTTTTCAACAAAATAAATATAACCATCCTCCGCTTCAATAATGGTGCCCAGCAGACTTATTCGAGGGTCGCGGATGTACATGAAGCTCTTCGCGAATGGACAGCGAGGGTTAAAAACTGTAATCCCGTTATTTTCTGCAAAGCCGGACCAAACTCTGCCCCTCTTGTCACAACATATCGCGAAACCCACCCCTCTCTTGCCGTGATACCTCACGGTTTTTGCGACTTCGGACGATGGCTGTTTGTTCAACAGGGCTTGCGTGCACACAGAATACAACAATCGGCCGCTGGCTTGGGAGTAATATAGCAGCTTCCCGTCCGGCGACAGAGCAAGCACGGACACACCTAACGGAAGCCGTCCCACACTGATGTCTCCGAGAGCCCCGTTCCAGAGTGTGATGTTACTCGTGCTGTACAACGTTTGACCCCAAGTGGTGAGTAAGAAGTTCGGATTAGGCAAGATGGTTTTATCTCCTTCAAAGGCAATGTAAGACTTTCCAGTGCACAAGTCCAGCACTACAATTTTGTATTGAAATCCGTCCGCGATATACGCCACGTTTCTCTTGGGGTCCACGGTAAGACCCCTAAGGTCTGACATCGGTCTTGCAGTAGCGTCATTGAAATAATGGATTCGCACGACACAGTCGTTACACATGTTGACCACAACAAGTTTGGGCCCACCCGGAGACGCCACGTATGGAATCTGGTTTTTATCTCTGGCCCGACCGTTGTCCAAGAAGAAGAGGAAGTCGAACTCTTTCACGTAGACTATCGTTATGACGCTGATGAAGTGATGCCGGAGACCTTTTGTAGTTGGTGGACTGGTCGAGTAGTTGATGACACCTCCGTATGGGTTGTTCATGCAGCGGTTAGGGTAAGGGAGCTCTCCACATTTGGTGAGTTCGGCCACGGCGTACTTGCCGTTGCATCCGTCGTTGGTGTTGAGAGGGTCAATGCTCGCTGGGTAGCTTGCGAATTTCCGACCGCAAGGGGTTATTGCGAACCCAGTCGGCCATTGGTCTTGGAACTCGTAGAAGACCTCGAGCCTCGGGTCGTGACGCATCGGGTCCTCCGGAAGTTTGCAGCATTCGTTACATACTTGACTTCCTTGTGTCTGGCAGTATGACAATATGGTGAGTACGAATAACCATACATGTTGGTTCATGTTGTATCCAACCTGCGGAAGAAAGTGAAGTGATAAAAATGTTTGTTCTTTATTTTCGAGGAAAATTAAGTACGAATATTTCTCTATTAAATTTCAAATGAGAGAAAACAACACTAAGAAGTGGCCCGAATTGTATGGAACGAGGTGGAGAAATGGTGCTGGGTCTACACCATTCCGCGGGGAAATCACGGCCAAAAAGTTCCAAAAATTATAACGAGAGTCAAAAATAATTTTTTTTTTTTTAAATATATTTTTAAATTTCAAATATACCAGAATGAATCGAGAATAAAATTGTCTGAAACATTCAAAGACAAATTCCAAACGTATTTATCGAAGAATATTCATTTTATGGGAAAAAAAGGCCAGGTGGGATTGTTTTGAAAATATTTTTCCAAGTGACAACAGGCCTACCTATCTTTACTAGGAGGATAGCAGTCTCATTAACAGTTTATATGATTCCAAGTTTTTGCTTTCACTTGAATGTAAATCGAAGAATGAGAACCTTAAAAATCTTTTGAATACTAACGAATGGGCAGTTCCACAATTATTTTAAGTTGACTAGTCCCTTCATGTGTATTTACATTTGCTGCTGAAGCAGTGATCCTAGAAAATTTACGGTGGCAAAGATAGGTACAGATCTCAGCATGTACTGGCGAAAATTAGCGCATCTCCTCCAGAGAATTCTAGGAGTATGCTCCGAAATTATCAAGGTTAGGATGTGAGCGTCTTAAGTAAGTATGCACCAAATAGTTCGATCGACTATTTTAACGATAAAAACACCAAATTATGGATGCCGATTACATTGTGAAAACTTTCGCTCAGGAATAAAATTTCTCAACGGAATACAGCTTCACTTTTTTTAGCTTTTCAGGGAATACTGTGAAAATAATTGAAGAAAAAAAACGCTAATGATATTTTGTGCTAAAGTGCGATAATCAGGCCTTTCCCAGAACAATAAAATGTCACAAGAGAATTAAAAAGTCACAAACCGAGATATTATGTGGTTTAGTATTTTCGAGAACGATTTAAATGACTTACCGAAAAGCTCAGCAGGCTGCGAGTCAGACACTACCGAGAAATAAATCGCCTTGGAACTTTTCTTAAACGCCTCTTTTTTTTAATCCACTTTCGTCTTTATGCGATTATCTTCGTGGTTTCACACCATCGTCCTCAAATCATTTTCATTTGACTGTTGACACTGAATTTTATGCCGCTGGGACACAAGTAATGGCGCGAGCAGCTGCGGATAAGAGCGCGATATAAAGATGCGACCTTATTGCTTTCAGCTCTGTGTGCGATTAGCTTCTTCAAGTTTTTTGAATTGGTCTCGTCGTTATGAGCATCCGTTGAAATTTAGATTGACAAGTGTAGCAGGTCGTCGTTGAAAAGTAATTGGAAGAGACTTGCTTGGGCGTTGCAATTAATGCGTGGTGTGTAGAGGGTCAACTATTCAAAATCCTCACACTGAGGGGCGATGCTCAGGGTTGCACGCGTGAAATGAAAAATATGAAAGATTGAAAATTTCCGATTGAAACATTTCATGAAATTTCACGAGGCTGTGAAATATTTCATATTTTTCAGGGGTTAAAGTATGCAGCCCGCGATCAAATACACAAAAATAGAAAACAGTCGAAATTTTCGCATGTTTTGCGAAACATGAAAAGGAACCGGTATTTTTAAATATTTTTCACAAATGTCTGAAATTTCTTGAAATATTTCACTCGAAATTTCAAAATTTTATTGTTCATGAAAAATTGCAACCCTGGCGATGCTAGGGAAGTTTGAGACACTGTTTTCCCTTTACCCTCCCCCCCCCCCACACACACACAAATACACCCTCATTTCCATTATCAATCCATCGATGGAAAAACGGGAAAAGAGCATTGTGTTTGATAAACATTCAGCAATCGCCTTCCTTTGAAGCCCTGGCTGACGACTTAGTGAAAGTATGCAGCTTGATGTAGAGGACAACGGCGCTTGGATACAACTATTCGTGTCTAGTGGATGCCCGTATTGCATACCCGAATAATTGAAGGCGTTTTGGTTTCGCTTCCCTACAAGTCTGTAACAGGGCCCGCTTGTGGCTACAGATGTAGTTTCAATGAAGAATAAAAGCCTCGTATCACTCTGCAATCTTATGCTATCTACTTTTATGGGGGTACGGTACACCGCCTGACCGCCTCGCGGTCTAACCCCCCGCAGTGCTTCGCGCCCCAGGCGTTATTCGGTAAGCGGCACTCTCATGATTTTATATTATACAGTAAGATTTGTAAAAAAAAAAATGAGTCCACTGCCTCACAACCTATTCTACAGAATGATTATTGAAACTGATAGACAAAGAGATAGACAAAGAAAAGATATCTTCTGGATAGAACAGGGCGTAAGCTTCGTAAATTACACATACTTGACGATGGTGGTCAGTTGGGGTGCAGTGATTCTCAGACCTAATCTCTTGTTCGTTTTTTGAAGACGAATAAAGAATATGGTGTGAAATGTTCTATCTCTGCGGATTGGTGCAAAAGCTGTAAATCATTTTAATGCTCATCGAGTTATGGGTTGGAAATTTAAGCATATTCAAAGCAGCTCTCACCTGAGCTCAAAACAAGGAATTTAGCAGAAAAGCTGTAACGCTGAGTGCAGCAATAAAAAAAGTAAGCACCCGGCTAAAAAAGTTGACTTTAGCGGAAGGATAAGTAACAACTTAATCTGCCCAAATACGCCTTAAACATAGGATTGTTCAATTGAATATATTCTCAATATATATATATTTTTTTTAAGCTCCTCTTTTTCTTAATGTCTTCCAACAATATCAGGCGCAAGTTAAAAAATTTGTAGAAGCAGAGATATCTAATTTAGGCCTATCCCTAAAAACGGTTTCAAAAGCGGACCTATGCAAATTTTAGCTGTGAGTTTTCAGACTTCAGTTTCGTTGTTTTAACTTCGTCTGTAGGATTAGAAAATTCAACCAAATCTTCACGAGAAAATTCGACCTCATAGAAAAACTGTTATTGTAGTAGATTAAGAATATACTCCTCATTGGCTTGGTCATAATTTGTTCCCCGCAGGAAAATACTTCATTCCATAAGATGTTTTACTCAACGGGTTGATTCTGGAAACATAATCGATTTTAGCAACAACAATTAACCACAGGAACATATTTGTAATCCCAGTGTTGCCGGGTCGCAAAAACTCGGACAGAGGCTTTCACAAGGCGACTTAAATCTGAGCACCACGTACGGCTTCTTTCTCCTGTCCACAAATGGGAGACCCGTTCCTGGATACGCTAGCGGCAGGCCACTCAACGAGTTAATAATAAAATAAATATAACCGTCTCCCGGTTCGACGAAGGAAAACGGCCAATTTAATCGAGGATCACGGATGTACATGAAGTTCTTCCCGAGTGGGCAGCTAGGGTTGAAGACTGTAATCCCGTCATTTTCCACACAGCCGGACCAAACTCTGCCCCTCTGGTCACAGAGGATTGAAAAAGATTGCCCTTTTGCGCCATGATTCCTCACAGTTTTAGCAACTTCGGATGATGGCAGATTGTTCAGTAGAGCGTTCGTACACACGGAGTACAACATCGGATCACTGAGCTTGGAATAATACAGCTGCGTTCCGTCCGGCGATATAGATAACATGGACACACCAAACGCAAGGGGCCCCACGACGATGGTCCCGGGTGTGCTGAACCCCACGTTGTAGTACGACTGACCCCAAGTGAAAGGCAATACATACGGATTAGGCACGAGGGATTCGTCTCCTTCGAAGGCAATGTAAGACTTCCCGGTGCACAAGTCCAATACAATAATTGTAGATCCCAATCCATCGGCAATATACGAGGGCTGTCCCAAAAGAAACCGGACTTTTGTCATAGAAGGCGAACCGAGCGTTGTAATGAAGTTTTCTTGGGCTTGTTTGAAAGCTGATAAGCTACTGTAGATGCGTGTTTTTACAGAATGCAAAAATTCGTCTTGGTAAGGAAACTACACACTTTGGAATAAAGGAAAGTCAAACTCGAGTTGCGATTTTTGTCTTTATTTCAAGAAAAATTTAGATACAACTTTAAAAAAACCCAGGTTTTATGTTAAAAACTTCGTTGTTCTCTTATTCAAATGCTTAAAAATAAGGAAATTAACATTTTAAGCAGCTTATCAATAAGTCATCACCTATCCCCTTCAAAATGCTCGCCAGCTTTGTCGATGCATTTTTGCCACCGTTTCTTCAATTGGGAGAAACACTGTTGGAAATCCTCAGATTTGAATGATCTCAATTTCTTTCAAGGTGACCTGACCTGGCTCCGTGTGATGTTTTCTTCTTTCCACGACTTAAATCTACCTTGAAAGGTCGACGTTTTCAAACCATTCCGGAGATCCAAGAGAACACCTTGTAGGAATTGCGATCATTCAAATCTGAGGATTTCCAACAGTGTTTCTCCTAATTGAAGAAACGGTGGCAAAAATGTATCGACAAAGCTGGCGAGTATCTTGAAGGGGATGGGTGATGACTTATTGATAAGCTGCTTAAAATGTTAATTTCCTTATTTNCGCTAGCGGCAGGCCACTCAACGAGTTAATAATAAAATAAATATAACCGTCTCCCGGTTCGACGAAGGAAAACGGCCAATTTAATCGAGGATCACGGATGTACATGAAGTTCTTCCCGAATGGGCAGCTAGGGTTGAAGACTGTAATCCCGTCATTTTCCACACAGCCGGACCAAACTCTGCCCCTCTGGTCACAGAGGATTGAAAAAGATTGCCCTTTTGCGCCATGATTCCTCACAGTTTTAGCAACTCCGGATGATGGCAGATTGTTCAGTAGAGCGTTCGTACACACGGAGTACAACATTGGGTCACTGAGCTTGGAGTAATACAACTGCGTTCCGTCCGGCGATAGAGATAACATGGACACACCAAACGCAAGGGGCCCCACGACGATGGTCCCGAGTGTGGTGAACCCCACGTTGTAGTACGACTGACCCCAAGTGAAAGGCAATACATACGGATTAGGCATGAGGGATTCGTCTCCTTCGAAGGCGATATGAGACTTCCCGGTGCACAAGTCCAGTACAATGATTGTAGATCCCAATCCATCGGCAATATACGCTACGTTCTTCTTGGGGTCCACAACCAGGCCTCTGATGTACGACGTCGGTTTTGCGATATTGTCATCAAAATAATAAATTCGTGAGACGCAGTTATTGCAAACGTTGATCGCAACGACCTTGGTCCCGCCCGAAGATGCTTGGTAGAGAATCTCTTTGCAATCCCTGGCACGAGCTCGAGCGGTGTCCAAACAGAGGAGAAGATTTAACTCCTTTATGTAAACTATCGTTTGGACGCTGATGAAGTGATGCCGGAGACCTTATGTTGTTGGTGGACAAGTCGAGTAGTTGATGACACCTCCGTATGGGTTGTTCATGCAGCGGTTAGGGTAAGGGAGCTCTCCACACTTGGTGAGTTCGGCCACGGCGTACTTGCCGTTGCATCCGTCGTTGGTGTTGAGAGGGTCAATGCTCGCTGGGTAGCTTGCGAATTTCCGACCGCAAGGGGTCATTACGAACCCAGTCGGTCATTGGTCTTGGAACTCGTAGAAGACCTCGAGTCTCGGGTCGTGACACATCGGGTCCTCCGGAAGTTTGCAGCATTCGTTACATTGATTGCCTTGCGCCTGTAGTGTAGGCAATATGCAGAGGACAAGCAACCATACATGTGGCTCCATTTTCCCTGAAACCTACGAGAAAATATGCGAACTGATAAAACTGTAAGGTTGGTCGGATTGACAATAATTTGTTCCAGTTTTGGGAACTGTAGGTATTCCATAAGACATCATAATGATCGCACATTTCTCGCGCGTATGAAAATACATCTTCAGCCCATTATTGCCTTTGACAAAATGGTTTTTTCCATGGCAAATAACGAGTACATCTCTTTTAAATTTCAAATGTATCACAAAACTTGCAAATAAAAGTGTCTGTAAAATTTAAAGAAAGCAATCCTATAATTTTCAGGAAAAGTATCATTTCATGCAGATAATTTGACCAGTTGTGAGAGTCCTGAAAGTGTTTTTCCGAAACACGGCAGCTCTATCAATGCAATGAGAAAGTCGCTCAATGAATAGGTATCATGATACCAGGTTTTTTTCTTTCATTAAGAAGAAGAAGAATCAAACAAGATCAGCACCTTGAAAGAAGTAAGGGTGGGCCATAAAATGTGAAACATTTTATTTACAATGAGACCCCCAAATGACGGATCTTGTTCAAAAAGTAAAAGATTCTGTCGAAAAATTATATTTTCAAACGAAACACCGATCGACATGTTTGCGACTTGCGGAGATTATCATTATAAGAAAAATCAAACTCAGACGATATTCTATGCAAGAACTAGGCTCTCCCCCGAGGAGGAAATTGAAACAAGGGGGTTGAAATGTCGCAAACTGAGATATTATGTGATTTGGTGCTTTCACCATCGATTGGAATGACTTACCTAAAATTGCAGCTGGCGGCTGGCGAGACACTGAAACGTGAAAGAAATTGCTTGCGAGCTTGTCTCATACGCTTATATTCTTATCATTTTCCCTCTTTATGATAACGTTCGTAATTTCACACAATCTTTTGATTTTTCTCTAACTTGACCGTGGATATACGGTTTTTCATGCCTCTGGGGCACATATGGGACAAAGGTGCACTGCAGTGATGCTATCTTATTGTTTCAGTCTGTATTCTGTGTGCAATTCTGTTTCTCGAATTTTTCGAGTGGTTCTTGTAGTTATGAGCGATCACTGTTTAGACTGACAGGTGCAGATGGCCATCCTTGCAAGATAATTTGAAGGAATATGATTGGGCCTCGTGATGATTTGGCGCATGGAGTAGATATCAAACTTTTTAAATCTTGAATGTTTGGTGGCGATGTTCGTAAGTTAAAAACGCTACTTTGAATCCATTTAATTTCAATTTAAAATCATAGAGAAAAACCCAACGGGATCACTACACATGTTCAATAAACATAAAACAATCGGTCCCTCTAAAATACTAGTTGGCGGCTTGGCGAACATACGAGCTCGATGTAGATTTCAACGGCGCCTGGATACAACTATTAGTGTTTAGTGGATGTCCGTATTGCATACCCAAACGATTGAAGGCGTTTTGGCTTCGCTTCCCCACAAGTTTGTTACAAGGCTCGCCCGTTACTTTGAATGTTAATTCAATGATAAACAAGAGTGTCATTCCTCACTGCAATATTATGCCCCTACAGGGGAGCGCCCCCTGACTGCTTCTCGGGCCAACTCCCCTTCAGCACTTCGCGCCTCAGGCGTTATTTATCAACCAACCAACTATGATTTCGATAAACATCAAAATCGATTTAATTGATCCCGATTTCTGGGGTGAATCTTTTGATTGTGTGGGGAAAAACAGATAGACTATATCCAGGTATTTGTCTCGATGGAATCAAATTTATTTTGAGGTAAAATGAAATGGGGAGTCAATCCCAGCGCTTGATTTTACATAAAATTAATTGTTGGAAGGTCCAAATATATAGATTGAACTGATAATATCGTGACACGCGAAAAACAATGAGCCCGCAACCACATCAGCCGCGATCTCCTTCTCTGTTCCTCATATTTATTAATTAAGAAAGTGAACTACATTCTGACTGGACATTTTGCAAGTTAACTCCTTATAACCGAGGGTAACTCCCTAGGTCCCATGTTTAAATGGAAAGCTATAAAAATAATTCCCTCCAGCCAAAAAATGTTCATTTAGTGTGAAGCATAATGAACAAATTTATCTTCCAAATAACACCTTAAGTAACTAGGTGGAGAAATGGTGCTGGGTCCACAACCATTTCACGGGGAAAAAAGCCAAAAAGTTCCAAAAATTTCAATTAGAGTCAAACAAAATAACCATTTCTTTGACTTGAATTGAAATTGTTGGAACAGAAACATTTTGGCTTTGTTTTCCTCGTGAAATAGTGTGGACCCAGTACCATTTCTCCACCTTGTTAAATACAGTCCGGGTCATTTCTAAGTGTATTTTCTCGTTTGTAACACCTTAATTATGGGCATTTTCAATCAAATATTAATATACTCTCGATATTCATTTAAATGTATCTATTCATCACAGTCATCCAAAAATATCAGGTGTGATATAAACAATTGAGAGAAGCAAATTTTGCGTCATCCCTACAAAACGGGTTTAAATTGTTTTATTCTTTCAGGAGAGAATACATACTCAATTTCATCAGATTTTTCATCCCACGAGTTGATACTTGAGACTACATCACCCATCAAAACGAAAAAATTCTGCCGTGATAGCGGAGAGAGTAGTAAGGGCAAAAATGAAGTCTTGAGCAAACGGCCCCAAAAGATTCAGACCGGAAAATTTTATTGAAAGAAGCTTCCGTTCTTTGTTAAATTGCCACTAGTCGTTCCGGATGACTCCTAGAAATCGTTTGGATGATTAAAAATCGACTGATCTTATTTTAATTACATAAAGAGGATATTTTTCATTTTCATGCTAGGTTATTGTTAGGCAAGACAGCCGTAAGTGCTATCTTCTGCATCCTTTCGTAGTTGCGTTTTAAACACACAACAAACGCATTTTCAGGTTAGAAATTCCCAGAAGAGGGCGGAACTTTACTTGGAGGCGCGGTTTTGATTGACTCTCTGGAGGAATTTTGTCACTTGCTGCTGTCTTCCCTGTAACTACATCATTTTTTGCGTACTTACAGCTTTCTCATGTCTCGTTTTGATACAATTAAGATGAATTTGCTGTTTTAGCAATTTCAGTGATTTCATCGTCTGAAAGAGTTTAGACACATTTTGAGGGAAACTCGATTTGGCACTTACTGCTCTCTTCGCTGTCACGGCAGAATTGTAGCCGCAATCACCTCAAGAGCATACTTGTAATCCCAGTGTTGCCGGGTCGCAAAAACTAGGACAGAGGCTTTCACAAGGCGACTTAAATCGGAACACCACGTACGGCTTCTCTCTCCTGTCCACAAACGGGAGACCCGTTCCAGGATAGTTAACCGTCAGTCCACTTATCGAGTTAATAATAAAATAAATATAACCGTCTCCTGGTTCGATGAATGAAAACGGCCAATTTAGTCGAGGGTCACGGATGTACAAGAAGTTCTTCCCGAATGGACAGTTAGGGTTGAAGACTGTAATCCCGTCATTTTCCCCACAGCCGGACCAAACTCTGCCCCTCTGATCACAGAGTAGCGCGAAGGACACTCCTTTCTCTCCATGGCTCCTTACAGTTTTTGCGACTTCGGTTGACGGCAGATTGTCCAGTAGAGCTTTAGTACACACGGAATACAGAAATCGGCCACTGAGTTGGGCGTAATACAGCAGCGTTCCGTCCGGGGAGATGGTAACCACAATCGGACCAAACGAAATGGACCCCACAACAGTGTTCCCTTGTGTGCTGTTCCCCGCGGTGTACAACGGTTGGCCGAAAGTGACAGGCAAAAATAACGGAGTAGGTAAGAGGGATTCGTCTCCTTGGAACGCGATGTAAGACTTTCCGGTACACAAGTCCAACACGATGATTTTGGATTCCAACCCATCCACAATGTACGCTACGTTTTTCTTGGGGTCCACTGCCAGGCCTCTGAAGTAAGATGTCGGTTTTGCAATTTCATCAAAATAATAAATTCGCGAGACGCAGTTATTGCAAACGTTGATCGCAACGACCTTGGTCCCGCCCGAAGATGCTTGGTAGAGAATCTGTTTGCAATCCCTGGCACGAGCGGTGTCCAAACAGAAGAGAAGATTTAACTCCTTTATGTAAACTATTGTTATGACGCTGATGAAGTGATGCCGGAGGCCTTTTGTCGTTGGTGGACAAGTCGAGTAGTTGATGACACCTCCGTATGGGTTGTTCATGCAGCGGTTAGGGTAAGGGAGCTCTTCACAGTCGGTGAGTTCGGCCACGGCGTACTTGCCGTTGCATCCGTCGTTGGTGTTCAGGGGGTCAAAGCTGGATGGGTAGCTTGCGAATTTCCGACCGCAGGGGGTCATTGCGAAGCCAGTTGGAAATTGGTCTTGGAACTCGTAGAAGACCTCGAGTCTAGGGTCATGACTCATTGGGTCCTCCGGAAGCTTACAGCATCCGTTGCATTCTTGATTTCCGTGCGCTTGTAGGGTAGGCAATATGGTGCAGACGATCAACCATACACGTGGCTCCATTTTGTTGCAAACCTGCGGAAGAAAAGTGAGGTGATAAAAATGTTTGTTCGTTATTTTCGAGGGAAGTTACGAATATTTCTGTTTAAAACCAATATACCAGAATGAATTGCAAATAAAATTTTCTGGAACATTCAGAGAAAAAATTCCAAAATTATGTATATAGAAAAAGATTTATTTTATGAGAAAAAATATGGCCAGGTGGGATTCTGAAAATCAACGGTGTAAATCGGTAATCACGTAGATGAACAAAAATGAACTCATAAAATGGAAAGTAGGTTGGTCATGTTGACAATCATTTGTTCCAGTTTTTGTTAATTGTAAGTATTCCTAAAGGCATGATAATGATTGCACATTTGCCGCGTTGTGTTAACATTCAAATTCTACTCATAATTGGACGTATTTGTCCCGAATGGAAGCACGGACGAGTGGGACGGATGGGGTGTGCTCTAGAATGCTGTATCAGAAACAACGTTAAAGTGGGCGTGATTCTCTTAGGATAAATGGAAAAGCGAGATTTTACATTCTATCAAACGGAACTATGTGCCAACTAAATGTGGCACTCGTGAGTCATGGGTATGTGTTAAGAGCGTTTTAGACAAGGCTCATAAGTTAATGTCGCCTAAAGACGACCGCGGCGGTGGTTTTGTCGCTGCTGACATCACTGGCGCTTTATAATTACCATTAACTCCTATGGCCCTTGACTAACAAGCACATCCCTTCTTCCCCGCCTATGTCTGTTCCGTTTGGAAAAAATACGTCCAACTACTTACGCTAAAATAGTTATTCCCGGGAATATTAACGAATACTTCTCTTTTAAATTTCAAACGTAAGAGAAAAATTACAAATAAAATTGTGCATAACATTTAAAAAAATCAATCCCATAAATTTTCAGGATAATATTTATTTTGTGGGCAATGAGGTGGCCAAACGTTAAAGTTCTTAAAGTTTTTTCCGCACGACGGCAGTTCTATCATTTTTACAAGAAAATTGTTTAATTAACGGGAATTATTATTCCAGGTATGTTTTCTGTTTTTGCGATAAAAATCAATTACGATCACCACCTTGAAAGAATGCGGTCGACTGAATCCATGATGAGACCTCCGAATGGATTGAAAATTTCTGTTCAAAAATTATATTTTCCTACGAAATACTGCTCGATCTTTTTGAGCTTTACAGAGATTATTGTTAAAAGAACTATAAAAACTCCGACAATATTTTCCGCCAGAATCAGGCTCTCCTCCGAAGAATAAATTGTCGTAAGGCAATTGAAATGTCGCAAACTGAGATGTTATGTGGTTTGGTGCTTTCACCATCGATTGGGATGACTTACCTAAAAGCACAGCGGGCTGCTAGAGAGACACTGTAGCGTGAATGATATTGATTTTAAACTTGTATTAAACTCCTGTTTTCCTAGCAGCTTTCTTCTTTATGATAACGTCGGTAATTTCACATAATCTTTCTATTTTCCCCAAAATTTGACCGTCGGTACGGTTTTCCACGACTCTGGGGCACATTTGGGACATGGGCGTGCTGAAATGGTGCTAGCGTATTACGTCAGTCTGCTCGGTGTATGCAATTCGGTTCCTCGAATTTTTCGAGTGGTCCTCGGAGTTAAAAGTGTTCGCTGAAATTTAGATTCACAGGTGCGTTGCAAAGTAATCGGAAGAATCATAATTGGGCCTTGCAATGATTCGGCGCAAGGAGCAGAGTCAATCTTCCAAAGTTCCAACTTTCATTCGTGATGCTCGCTCGTAAGTTAGTAATATTTCTTTTCATAAATTTCATTTTATTTTCAAACTTTCCAGAAAAAGACAGACGAGAGATCATTATTTTTGATAAACACACATGTAACAATCGGCCCCTCTCAAGTACTGCTTAGCGGCTTGGGGAATGTTTGCAGTTTCATATCGTTGACGAAGGCGCTGGGATACAACTATTCGTGTTCAGTGGATGTCCATGTTGCATACACAAACATTTGCAGGCGATTTGGCTTCGCATAACCACAAGTTGGTTAGCCATGTTACACCGGAATCTTACGCCTCCTATTCGATAGCAGAATATCTGGTTCAAAATTTAAAGTCGCAAATTTGGATTGTTTCTC